ATACACAAGCAGCCTAATCAGAGCTCAGTGCCAGCAGGTCAGTGGTCAGCAGAACTTCTCCAAGGCCAGATGGAGAAGTCTCCCAGCACAAATAACTGACCAACTAAATGGCATCTGTGTTTGGGTGGAGAAAGCCTCAGTCATTTCCAGGATACCAACTATTGCACTGTGGCACAAAAAGTACCCTGTGCACATGAGACTGATGACATTTGAAAACTGAGTGATGTGTCTGGGAATTGTCACTGTTTAACATTTGCAGCAGGAAGGGACTCCTTCATGCCATACAAGATCACTCTCGGCTATGTACCACAGAGTCTAGCAGTGGATATTTTGCACAGCAGCTCCCAGAGCCCTGCTCTGGTGCACCTCCATGTCCTGGCAGCAGTCTGCTGAGAAGCAATGGAGAGACACACCAGGGCCACCCCACCACCCTCACTCAAGAGATGAAATTCAGCTCAGCATCCTCAGCTGTCAGGGATTGCAGAGTATTTTATAAATACACAGGGAAGGAGTGGACAGTTAATGTGTTATCAAGCAGTGTTTTCATGATTTTTTTTAAAAAGGAGCTTTAATCTCAGTCTGTGAAATGAATGCATAATCCTGAATATGAATGGAAATTTTAAAAGCCTGTTAATTGTTAACTGTTAATTTGCAAACCTGAAGGATCTAATAATGGTTGACTTTTACCTTGGAAACAACTACTGATGATACTCTGAGCTGGAACAGAAGTATCAGCAAAAGCCAAAAACCCCCAAATTTAATAAATGAAAACATCTTTACGAATATCTTATAAAAAAGGATACCAGTTAGTACATATATCTTCCTCACCAAGTAAAAGGTTACATCAGATCCCTGAAGTGAAAGGGGATATACTACACTGTACAGAAGATGTGACAGCAACACTAGCTGTTACAGAATGTCTTTCACCAAATGAAAACAGTAAAAAACCAAAAACAAAACCAAAAAAACCCACAACCAAACAAATACCACTCTATCCTTCAGGCTACAGATGAAAAACACGAGTTAGTGAAGATATGAATAAAGCAAGCTTTTTGCAAAGAAAGGTTTCACAAAGTGGTCAGCTGCTGAGAACCTCACTACTAAATGTCAATGTTTACGTATTTATGAATTTCACATTTTCCCAAGATGCCATGCTGTGTTTTGACTCGTTTTACTCAGTTAAAAGTCATAGAAGCTCAAGAAGAGAATCAAGTACTTCTTCAAGTGATTTCCAGTGTAAGAACTGAGGGAGAACTCCAGATCTTGAGGAAATCAATAACAGGCTTTTTATTCTTGACCTCACTAAGGTCTGACTTTGCTTTGGTTATTCAGAAACCAAAGAAACCCCCGCAGAAAGGTCAAAGACAACAAAGACAAGGTCAAAGAGTATATGAGGTGGGACAGTTATTCTTGGCTGCAGTGCACTGTTTTTTTTAAGGAAAAAAAAAGGTTATATATATATATATATATATATATATATATATATATATATACATATATAAAGGTATGCTGCCTTCCTGTAGCTCATTATTAAGAAATAAGGGAAAAGGACAACATTTTCTAATAGTGTAGATAAACTCTAAACATGCCACTTAAAATGCCAGCTTCTGTCAAAGCTGCCTGTATATCACTGACATAAGCAACCTCGCTGCTGTTAATGAATGACTCACAGATGTTTATTGCACAGAAAGAACAGAAAGCATGCCATTGTAATTCTGAAAGTGAGATAATTTACATATATATGTCAATTTTCTACTGAATTACACTGAAGAATATTGTTAATATGGATTTGCTTTGCAAATGTGCAATTTTGAATTTAGAAGAGACTTGTGGGAGTATGATTTAAAATTGTCATTTCAACTTTCCTCAGATACTGTTAGGGAAATACAAGCAGGATTTATTAATGAAAAGTGTGTATGCATATACTTGGCATTGCTCTATGAAGCATTCAAAGGCCTCAGTATTATTGAAAAACTAATGCTTTGCTCAATAATCAAAAGGCAATAAATTGTTTACTTCCAAGCCCTTCTGTGCATGCACAAATGCTGAAATTCTGTCAGGCTTTCAGAACAGCCACAGCCACTCTCTGTTAAAATACTGGATAGTGATAGTCTTTTCTATGTTTTGCTCTTCTGATACCGAGAATATTTTGTATTGCCTTTAGTATGTATTGCCTTTAAAAAAGACAAAGGCAAGTGCTGTGTGAGCACGCTCAGGAGTTGTTAATGGCAAGAGTCATCAGTTTGAGAGAAGAGCTGCATCTCCTGGAAGATCAAAGAAAGAAGATCTACTGAGGTTAGGGAAAAAAACAATGAAAAGGAGCTTGTGATAGTATTTTGTAGTCCTGTAGGTAAATTCAATGCCTATTCCATTTTTTAGGTGCTCCTGTGTGAAAGGAGAAACAAAGGTCCTTTTGAAAGAAAAAAACCTTTACTGAGAAGGTGAGAAAATACGCAAAATTAACAAAAAACACAGAAAACACTTTTGTAGTTATTATTAGCTTGATGGGCGTTTTTCATTTTACCTTCCAGAAACTGTCAAGTTTTCAAATTCTGAGCAAAAACAACCTCTGCGTTTTTTCTCAACATGATGAGGTACAAATACACTTTCAGCTTTATTGAATAATGTAAAGTTTTTCTTTTCAAATGCCAGTATCCAACAGTGCATTCACTTTGACATTAAAATATAATATACAGTAAATAATTTGTCTGCAGCTGAATTCACAGATGTTGCAGAAGAAGAGATAAAGGGCATCAAACCGAAGAAGAGGTGCCCAAGTCCAACAGGTGGGGGCTGTCCTTGCCATTCCCCAGGCTGAGAAGAAGGAGAGGCCCAGCAGCAGTGTCAGGAATAAGCAGTGAGGTGAGGTGCGAGATCTCCTGCACTACAGTGCACTGCTGACAGCAGATGTGGGAAGGCAAAGGTAGTGCCTCATTCCTGTGGGGAAGGGAGCCAGGATATGGATGTATGTGCCTGATAGGTCATTACGTGGCATCTCACTCTATCCACAGAGGAGAGAACAAAAGATAATGTCTTTTCTGTTATGAAGTAAGCCAAACATATTAATCTGAGTAGTCACAAAGACTAAATCCACTTAAGAAGGAAATGAGAAGTTCTGTATTTTCTTAGCATATCAGTGTTAGGGTGTGCCAGTTGTCAACACACTGTCATACTGTGTTGTACTTAGATATAGATTAAAAAGCAGTTATCAACTGCAGAGTAAATTTTTTCTTTTCATTATTTTAGTTGGTATCCTGAGGATCCCTTTTTTCATGAATTCCTCATCTTCCTCATACAGAGGGCTGGGATCGCTATGTCCTGTTAACCTACTCTCTCGTCATATTGCAAATCCTATGTGCTTTACACCTGTGGATTGAATAAGGCTTGAAAAAACAATCTAGTTCTGCAGCACCTCTGACCTCTTCTATCCAGTGTGTTCCAGATCAGTCATGGTGAGAAGAAGTCCCAGCTGGCTGCAGCCAAAGTCACAGCAGTTCACAGTCTGAGCCCAGAAGTAGCTGCTTGTGCTGAAAATGGCAAATAAAGGCCTCTTACTGCTTCAGTCACAATTTATTTTGTTGCCTAGAACCCAATGAACAGAATTTCCATTAACTAACTTAAAAATCCACTAAAGTTGTTTTTTGAGATTCTGCAGCTGGCAGAAGAATAAAATCACTTATCAGTGATCAGAACTCCTAGCAACGGTAAGATATATATATTGATAGAATAATTTGATAAGCTTTTTTATCCTTTGCCAAACAAAAGTGATTATGGTGATAGCAGTTTATAACTACCATGAGAAAACCATAGGTTTTTGAAGGAACATTGATATGCATAGAGTACCAAACTTGGTGGATTTTTCTCATATCAGGAGATTTTAAAAAATATAGGAAATCTTTCTTTTATTTGCATGAATTATTGCAGCACATTGTGCTATAGTGAGATGATTTTCATTTTGCTTTTCAAAGGATGCAAGGCTTATATTTACTAAAATGACCTGTAAGACACAGAGTCCAAAATGCTATGAGATTGACCTTGCTTCCACAGAGACTAGAAAAGTAACAAAAGGAAAAAAGGCATTGCCATGTACAGATACATAGTATCGCCTCATAAGTAGCACGGGATGTAAAGTTATGCCTCACACTGAGGAATTATTTTAATTATGTATAATTTCTTGAAACAGCTGGTAGGCAGAAAGAGCCTGTGGGATGTGGGAGCTGTAATTTACAAAGGAAAACACTAGTGACGCCGAAGTCCCTAAGAGAAATTTATGGAGTCTTAAAAACTAGTTACAGTGGAAAAAATATTACAAAGTGCTTTCAGTGTAGGAGAAAGAATGGCCATACTGTCTCACAATGGGGAGACGCTTTCAGACCATTCGGTGGTGAAGCGCTACTGAAATGGTGAGGCGGATGTGAAGAGTCTCCTGCCATCCCATCACGGAGGTCGGTCTACTTGATGCTCTCTGGCCCGACTTGACCTTTCCTCGTCTCGATGAGCCAAACCGGCCTCCACCAACCCCGCTCTAGAGCTGCACGTAAAGCCGCGCCCGTCCTACACTGCTCCCTTTCCCTCTCATTTTATGAGGCCGGCGAAAAGCCCGGTTGCTGACAGGTGATTTGATGTTGAAGCGAAAAGGTCTCGTTTCCCGAGCCTCGGGGGGCCAAGTGTCCCGTCGCCACGGGCTTCCCCTCGTCCCTGCCCCGGGGAAGCTGCGGCTGAGCCCCGGCGCGGGGGCTGCAGGGGCTGCGCTCGGGGTCACCGCTGCGGGTGAGTCCGCTCCCTCACCCACCCTCTGGCTCTGCCGCGTCGGTCCCCTTGCAGGGCCGCGGCCGCAGCGCTTTCCACGGCTGTTTTGACAGGAACGTCAAGTTATTTTAGCAGGAAAGTCAAGCTCTCCCCGCGCGCACAGAACCCTCGGCCCGCCCCAGGCACCGTGGCCCGGCCGGGCATGCGCGGCCCCCGCCCCGCCCCCGGGACGCACCGCCTCCGCCGCCGCCGGGCGCGGGGGGACGAGCGGCGGTGCCCGAGCGGCCGCGCCCTCCGCCATGAACCTGCACCAGGTGCTGACGGGCGCCGTGAACCCCGGCGACAGCTGCTTCTCCGTGGGCAGCCTGCGCGACCAGCCCTTCACGGTGAGCGCTCCCCCCGCCGCGGCCGCGGCGCCTCCGCGGGGCCCGCGCTCACCGGCGCCCAAAGCGGCTGCGTCAGGCGCGGGGCCGCGGCTGGCCCGGGGCGCGGGGAGAGCCCGGGGGGCGCGTCCGCCGGCGGGGGCACCGCCCGAGGCACTCGCGGGGCGCGGCCCGGCGGCGGCGGAGACCCCCAGGACTTGCCCGTGGGGGCAGCCCCGGCGCGGCGGTGCCAACCTGGTGCCGGGCACGGCGCGGAGCCCGCGGGGCAGGAGGGCACGTGTGGATCGCAGGGGCTTTAGGGACGCGCCGGTGCGGTGGTGGCTCCGATAAAAGGTTACATAAACGGCGGCCGGGACGTGCGGCTCCCGGTGCAGGGGAGTTTCGGCGCTGGCGTGCGGTCAGGGTAGGGGGTTGAAGTCTTCACTGCGCATAGTTGGGGACGGTGTTGGAATACCCTGCAGCGGTGGTAAGATTTTCAAAGCATATTTGGTCTCCCTATCGATGTTTGTGCTTAGAGTGGAAAGAGAAAACTTGCAGTACATGGTAAAGGCCAAATGCTTTATTACTGTGTGTTTTCTTCCCTTTCACTTTTGTTTTGTAAACAGACTTATGTTGTTGTGTTCTTCTTCCTTCCCTCTGTTGGCCCGAAGAGCAATGAAAAAAGATGCAGGGAACTTTCTCAGGGCACCACGTTTTGAGTGCTTTTCACCATACCTTTTATGGCAGCCCCCACCTTTAGCAGGGTGTGTTTTTAGTTTGATAGGAGAGTGATAGTCAGAAGTCCAAGAAATAAGAAACTTATGGTTTTCTGTCCCGTCCAGAACGTGCAGTTCAATTCATCTGGCTACTTGTGGCTTCGCTCGCAGGCGGCGGGGCGAGGAGCTGCCTTCCCGGGGTTAGGCTGACAGTGCAGAGTTCCTCTACAGCATTGTCCGGTGATGTGCTTGCTTTCAAAAAAGTGGATCCTATAGATAAGTTCATGTTGCAAGGTTTCTTTAACTACAGCAGTTGGGACTTGGTATGCCAACTGTGCCAAGCTTTCTGGTTTTACATATCCAGAAATTTCATCAAAAACCCATCAAAGATGGTGGGACACTGTTTCATAAGACGCAAGGAGGTCTGCTTTACAGTGAAATGCTAGTAAGCTTTCAAAGTATGTTCTCATAAGTTTCCCGTTTTGGTTTCATTCTTTTTTGAGGGAAATAATTCGAGTTATTACTGTTACTGAACTCACTTTCTACCTGCTGCAGCCCAACTTAGCAAAAGTGTTGGAGTTACCCAATGGTTAAGAAGAGTAGGAATCTCTTCTTGAGGAGAAAGGCATAATTGGGAAGTGCAGTTCTCAGTATCTGTGGTTTTTTTTTTTTTACAAGAACTATTTTCACATAAGTATAGTAACAGTATTTATTAATGTGTTTCCTATAGGCTCATTCATCTTCCTTTGTTTGTCCTTTTTCCGAGAAGGTTATTAATGGATTTCTTTTCCTTAGATTTAAAACTGCTAACAGAAATAAACTGGAGTGCTTCAGGGCTGTTTTTGTTATTCTTGTTACTCATTCTGTACTGCCGTTTTAAGTTAATGAGAGTTCTGAGAAGGATTAAGTGAAAGGTACTGAAACTAATTTCTGCATTTTTGGAAAGAAATGATGTACTAAACCTTTGAAGAATCCAAGAAAAAAAAAATTGACAGTTGTTTTTCCATGTCTGATATTATGATATAGGTATTAATTAGTATAAATACTATTGAATTACATTTTAGAAACAGAAGAAAATCCAAACACTTCTGACTTCTGTGCTTCATGTTAAGCTTCTGTGCTTCCAGTTTTCATGGCCAAGAACTCTTGAGAGCTGATATTTCAGGGTTATGTATAGGTGGGGCAAATTATCTTTGTCCAACAGGAGAACTTGATCTGTAATATTTTGATTTTTTGATTTAATATACACTATGCTTCAGAATGTTTTATGATGCGCAGCACTGAATATTTGAAGTGAAATACTTAAGATTTTACAGCTTTAGGCTAAAAATACCAAATTCTTCTCTTGAACTCTGAAAAGCTGGAAGTAAAACTAGTTAAAAAAATGCCTTCACCCACTGAATTGTATGCATCTTTTTGTATATGTGCAGTTGTTTTAAGAAAGAGCTTGAGGTTTTTGTTCTAGTGGTGTATTTGTTCTAATGGTTTACTTGTTTGTTGTTCTGACCTTGAGTTTTTAGGATGTGAAGTGTAAAGTGGAGCATGACCTTCCTTGGAGAGAACATTTGTTAAAGAGTCTTTAGCCCATCTTTTATTTATATATAGAAAAAGACTCATAATCATTAAGTTATCTTAAGAAGCATGCATGTTGTTTATCTGTAGAGAGTAGGCGGTGGTAACACATGACACTAACTGAATGAGACCTTGACCCTCAGATGTGAGAATTTAACTTTTTATTCTTTATATCCTCTTCCTGAAATTGAAATTGTTTTATTTTCCATGTAGTTGTCCATGGTGGAAGACATGCTGCTTAGTTTATTTGTTTCAGATCTGAAATATTTGTATAAAAGTTTAAAAAGTTCGTGTAGTTCATCACATAGGATTCTTCTGAACTAGTTATTACTGAAGTTGTATTTAAATTATTGTTAACGAGCACTGATACCACTTTTGTGATTCGTTGGCTTTGTGCATTTTTACTTATTAATTTCTGTTTCTGTAATATTTTTCTGTTTTTTGTTTGTTTGTTTGTTTTTTGTTGTTGTTGGTTGGTTTTTTGTTTGTTTTTTTGTGGTTTTTTTTCCAAGTTGCAGAAAATGGGGGGAAAAAATCACTATGAGCAATAGCAGCTTTACAAGTACAAGTCTTAAGACTGGTAACGAAAGTCATGAAAGAGCGGTTGTTTGTAGGGGTAAAAATCTGTGAAAGAAGGATTAATTACATGGATTATTTTAATGGGACCAAAATACTTTCTTGACACGTTTCCTTTCTGTGTGAGATTAAATTAATTCTGGACTTGAGACTTGCTCTGCAAGATTGTTAAAACTATGAACTTAACATTTAAAGTTGAAAAGCACTTGAAAATTTCGAGGGGGCGGGCAGGGGCATTGATAGCTTCATCAAGACCATGTCAGGATAGCTTGGTCAAGACTGAGTTTTTTTGAGGTATAAAGACTTCCTGTTTTGCAAACCTTTTTGATAAATAAAAGTAGATTTTGTGACTCAATGAAATTGTTACCTGTGTGTCTAGAAAATACTTAATATTTGTATTTAGAATTTTGCAAATATCTATAGTCCAGAAAATTAACTGAGTGATAGTAAGACTCAGTTAAGGAATTACACTGTTTACACCTGCTTCTTGACTGAGATATAGTCAAGGGAAGGAAACCGTTTTGAGACTTTTTTTTAATAATATTCTAGTTAAGCTGTTCTGGACTTGAAAAATTTATTGTCTTCCTAACTGAATTAATATTTAAAAAAAAGGGAGGGGATAAAATTTCTTTACGCATCTGTTCAAAGTGGAGTTTCAGTTAGACATGATTCTAAGTGCATGGCCAATCAATTTGCTACTTATATATACTGTAATAAAGTATATCATAGCTTAGGAAGTTGGTTTTTTTTTCCCAAACATGGTGAAAGAATAGTTCTTAAAATTTAGTTAAGCATCTTAACAAAAGAATTTATTTATTTATTTTACATAAAATTTAAAATTGAACACTTAGGCTAATGTAAGTTTTGATGCAAAAAAGGGGATGGAGAGAGACCACACCAGAATAGAAAAGAGTAATTCACAGTGGCTATGGGTTTCGATTTTGACCCTTCTGTGCAAAGGAAAAAAATACAGCCATTATTTCGGTATTGCCTCTTCATAGATTTATTTGCCTTTAATTTTTGTCTTGACTTCTGCTGAGTTGTGCATTATATTTGTAATCTGTATGTTCATCCCCCATGTATTTGCATGGGTTGATATATATATATACATATATTGCTTTATAAATATGTATGTGTGCACGCACATACTGCTTCATTCACCCATGGATAATAGCTAGTAATTAGGTGTACTTGTGCCCTTGTGCCCTTCCTGTAAGAGACACAATGTAATGTGTCAGTCCTTATGTAACTGTAGCAGAAACTACAGCAAAAACTTCTTTGTCAGTGCATAGAAGAAATATATCAAGAAGGTTGTGTGTAAGGGAAATAATTGCTTTAGAGATGCTGTGCCATGTAAGAGGTCAAGACCCTTGCTTATTTACTTTCCTTCTGTTGAGAGTTCCCAGTACTAGTTTTGGATTTTGAGTTGTGTATATCAGGCTTTCACTTTAGAAAGAAATCAGAATAGTTCATATAATTGTCCATACTATTGTCTGTTAAAACTCTATGCTTTTAAAGCACTGTTATTTTCACAGTATCTGTTAATCTTCTAAGAAATTATTATTTAGAAATAAGAGCTGACATTGGATTAAAGGAATGGGTAGAATTTGTGTGAAAACCCAATACTGCAATGAAACCCCAATACTGCAATGCAAAATCACGTTGATTTTCACAGGCCTGAAACATCTCTCACTCCCTTATTTCAGGCTTGTTTTGTTATGTCAGCAGTGAGATCCATGGTCATGCAGCTTGAACTGGTTCTATCTTGTTTATTTGTGTAACAGAAGAACAAGGCATTGTTTAATAAACATTCCAAGAACATGATAATATCACATTATCTGCTTGTCTCATTGTGCAAAGACAACTTTCTTGTAAATGTTCTAGGGCATTCTTAAGGTGAAAGGCTTTTATGGTTTGCCAACATCAGATATGGAGGCTCTACTTGTTTCGAAAAGTCATCTGGAGGTTTTAATATTATTACTAGGTTTTAAAATACGTATTTGGGAACTCTTTCCTTGTTCAACTGTATGGCACTTTTTGTGCCCCACCGTGCCACCAGAGGCCAAGTAATGTGCACAAAAGTATGTGTAAAAGAAATTCTTATACTTTAGAATTGCTTCTTACCCCATGCATAATAGAAGACTAGAATTACCTTTTTTTCTCAGTTCCAGAGCTTATAGAAAAACATTAGCTTCTGTCAAAATGAAAATGAGTGACGTGAGCTGTCGTGGATAAGTATTGCTGTAAAAATTAGATGAAGTGACTGGTAGGCAGAATTAATTTTTCTTACCTCAGAGAGACTGTTAGATTATGGAAGTTATTCCTTACGCCTCAGTATAGTCTTCCATTTTATATTAAGTTAAAATGACCCATACAATTCCATAGTGGGGAAAAAAAAAAAAAAAGAGTAAAGTTAGCCCAGCAGTTAATTTTGTGGACTTGGTTTAGAGAAATGTCTTTATGGGATACTACTGCTTAGAAACATCTTTCAAAGCTGCAGTCTGAGATCCAGTGAATGTGTAAGAGGATGTGACGTTCTCTTGTGCAGCCATCTCTGCACAGGTACAGTCTAATAGTTGAGTTGCAGAGGGGACAGCAAAGAACCAAAGCAAGGACACCTTGTAACGAGGGGATACTCAAGCTTCCCTCCTAAACTGTCTGGTCAGTGTGAGATATAATGGGAATGGTGGGCAGCAGTAGGAAAGGGAGCCGTTGCAGGTTTCATTTGCCAGACAACTTAGTAACCTTCTTATTCAGACACCTCTTTTCATTGTAGTATGTAATGTCCTTATCCTCTGCATCCTTTGCCTTTTGTCTTTGAAATTGTGGTTCTCCTGCAGGCAAACATTAACTAAACATCAAAAATAACCTCCAAGTCATCATCCTTCTACTTGGCTGTAGTTATATTTGGAAGCTCTTTGAAAAGACCTTTTATTTTTCTTTCTACCTCTTTGGGAACAAATCAGCTGTACAGGCTTAGGAGCTAGTCAATGATTCTGCGACTTATTGGGCATTGGGAAACCAATGTGACCAAAAATTATCTAATCCCTCTGAATAGACTGATGTCAGAAGTGATTATTTTTTTTTCCCAGAATATACATTTTTTTAGATAATATGGAGAAATACCAGAACATAAGGGTGAATGATTGTATTTTTCTTTCAGAAATAGGATTTTGAAAGGCCACTCCTCTCACCCCCACCTTCTAACAAACTTAAAATAAATTGTTAGAACTGAGAACTACTAGAATGAGAATATATTCCCTGACTTGTCATCAGAAAGTTCATCCCCAATTTGACAAACACACGAATTTGGGTGAGAAATTACTATTAAGAATAAAATAATAGCAATGGTTCAACATAGAAAAAGAGAGGGAGAGCCATAGCTCTTAGCGTGTGTTCACGAAGGGGACATTTTTGGGCAACAGCAAGTCTAGAATACCTCTTGCATACCTCCTTAAGCTACTGTTGTCCATCACAGCCCAATTTAGCAGGAGCTAGCCTGGGTTGCTCCCAGAGGAGACTGAGGGGGGACTTCATTGCAGTCTACAACTTCCTTGTAAGGGGAAGAGGAGGGGCAGGCACTGATCTCTTTGGTGTGGTGACCAGTGACAGTACCCCAAAAAATGGTGGGAAGCTGTGTTGGGGGAGGTGTTGGGTTGGATATTAAGAGCACACTGTTCACCCAGAGGGTGTTTGGGCACTGGAACAGGCTCCCCAGAGAAACGGCCACTAAGCCTGACAGAGTTCAAGAAGTGTTTGGACAACCCTCTCTGGCACATGGTATGACCCTTGGTGAGGTCCTGTGCAGGGCCAGGAACTGGACTTTGATGATTCTTATGTGTCCCTTCCAACTCTGCATATTCTACCACATTGTTTTAAGTCCTTGTTCCTGATACATTGATGAATATACCAATGCCTGAAGACTCCAGTGTATAGTGTTTGAGAGTTACTGTAGCATTCTTTCAGTGCAAAATGCCAAGTGTACTCAGGACTGTTTTTATATGCTAAAACTGATTGAGTTCTTGATCCCCTTAAAATGGTTAGTTTATGAATTTCAGGATTGCTGTTAGTGGTGCGTTACTACAAGACTCAACTGCAATGTAGTGCACCTCAGCTGGGGCAATCACCAGTATCAATAGAGGCTTGGGGGTGAACAGATCAAGAGCAGCCCTGCCGAGAAGGACTTGGGGGTGCTGCTGGAGGAGAAGATGGATATGACCCTGCGATGTTCCCTTGCAGCTGAGAAAGCCAGCTGTGTCCTGGGCTGCATCAAAAGCAGTGTGGCCAGCAGGGCGAGGGAGGTGATTCTACCCCTCTACTCTGCTCTGCTGAGACCCCACTTGGAATACTGGTTTCAGTTCTGGGATGCCCAGTACAGGAAGGACATTGACCTGTTCGAGCAAGTCCAGAGGAGAAACACTGAGATGACTACAGGGATAGAGTCCTCCTCTTCTATGAGGAAAGGCTAAAAGAATTGGAATTGTTCAGCTTCAGAGTGACCTTACTGCAAGTGACCTTCCAGTTCCTGAAGGGAGCCTACAAGAAAGACGGAGAGAGGCTATTTACTAGGACATGTAGTGACAGGATAAGGGGGAATGGCTTCAGACTAAAAGAGAGTAGGTTTAAATTAGATATTAAGAAGAAATTCTTTGCTGTGAGGGTGATGAGGCACTAGAATAGGTTGTCCAGGAGATGGATGCCCATCCCTGGAAGTGTTGAAGACCTTTTTGGGTGGGTCTCTGAATGACCTAGTGTAGTGAAAGGTGTTCCTGCCCATGAAAGGGAGGTTGGAACTAGATGATCTTTAAGGTCTCTTCCAAGCCAAACCATTCTTTGTTTCTCTTCAATGATTGTGGGGGTCTGACGCTGTGTGATTTCAGGTTTGCTTCTGAAGTTAGAAATGGAGAGAATCAGATATGAGAAGTAGAGTAAGTCTATGAAGTTCTTGCGAAGTCAGAAAAAGTAATATATTTCTTACACTGGAGACAGAAACTTTTGAGAGGTTTTTAACTTCCAGGGCTTGAACTTTTTCTTCTAAAAGTTTTCATAACTCCTGTCTTTTTTTTTTTTTTTCCCTTTCTATCTGTAACCCCTGTTTGCTTGTTATACGAGTGTTATGATGTACTTCTAAGCATGGAGAAAGAGGCCTTTGCCACTGCTATGGCTTGATTTTAAACTAGACATCAGTTATCTCTGTAAATACTTCTGTACTTCAGACAGTATTGTGTTTTACATGGAGAGGTTATGTGGACTATTCTGTTTCATACTTCACTGATATGCTTTAAGTAGCTGAAGCTTTATTCTTGTTTGGTTTTTGAACTTATTTATTTATTTTTTTTTTAGGCATATGCATCAGGATGTGATATTGTGGTACTGGGGACTGACTTTGAAAGATTACAGATAATCCCTGGAGCAAAACATGGAAACATTCAAGTGGGATGTGTGGACTGCTCAATGCAACAGGGGAAGGTATGTAGAGCAGTATTTCTGATAGTGTTCTAACAATGTAGTGTTAAGCACCATCTCAGGAGTGTGTAGTCTTGCAAGGCGAGGCAAATACCTTACAGGGAGTAGTAAAATGGCTGATTGCTTTATGTCTTGTAGTAAGCAGCACAATGAATGTGAAATGGATATGAGATTGTAGGAGATAAGTAGGACTGCACCAAAGGCCATAGATGTAGGGCTGCATAGAGGACACGGCAAGAATTGGAAGTTGGACTGAGTTGGAAGCAAAGGTAATTTATTCACTATGGTTTTGCACTAATGGGCATGTCATTGACGTGCTTTGACATGTTAATGGCTGGCAGCAGATGAGTACTTCCACAAAAATCACTTTCAGATCACCCAGAAAAATGACATCTATTCCAAGCAATTTGTAAAGGCTTAACAATGCTATTGGACAGCATTTGCTTTCTTGAATTCTTAGCTTTTCTTTTTCTAATGTAGGTAAACTTCATCAGAAATGTTGTATTTTAGGCAGTATTGGGTTTCAAGTCCATTTAACAGAGCTCTTTCCTAATTTTTCTGTCAAAGTAAAAAAGAGGTAACCAAGTAGTTCTGTCCATTGGGATGTCAGTGGGATTAAGTATTGAGCAATTCAGTAGGAACTGGTCTGAAGTGTCTGGGTAAGTATTTGCTCATATAAGAGGGGTTGTCTGCCTTTTTTATTTCGTTAAGCCTCTCCTGGTGAGGAGATAACGTTTCTTCACATTACTACAAGCCTTATGAGTTCATGGGAGTTTTGATTAGGTGATGGTGTCCATCTTGAGGCAAGACCTTTGATGGAAACTAGTTCATGTTTACTTGTAAAGTCTATGCTAATGAGTCCCCAGCCACTCCCTGTTCCTGCTTTTTGGCGGTTGAGTGATGAACTCTTGCAGTGGTAGTGAAGGAACATAAATGAAAATTAGGAAAATGTTCTCTGTGTCTCTAGTACCTCATAGCCATAAAGTTTGCCTGGTGTTTTCCACTGGCTACTGTTAACTAGAAACTTGGTTTTTGAGTTCAGTGGGCACGTATTAAGAGATGGTGAAATACACATGAAGATCACACATCGCAGTTAATCTTAAAAAATATTTCTATAAATTTGCAAGGTCATCTTGACTGCATGATACGAGTTATTTATGCATTTAAAGGACAAACTGTTATTGAATTGTAAATTAACACATGTGACTATATCAAACTATAAGGCTTACTAAGCTTCAGAATTTTTTTGTTTGTTCAGTAGACCTATGAGGTCATTTGGATTCTGCAAGTCTGTATTGTTTGCTGTCAGCAAACCAGATGTGTTTGCAGAGTGCTGAAGTGCTAAGCACTAATTGGCTAGGAATTTGCTTATTGTCCAGAATGATCAGTGCATTTCCTGTTCACTGTTGTAAGGTTGGAATTTCTTCTTACACCTTCTTCATCAGTACTGATACACAGCTTTCTCTTTGGTGTACTAAACAAAGTGTTGGATAACTGCAGCACTCACAGCCTCCTGTCTTCAGAGGAGAAGTACTCCAGCTCTCTGACTACTTTTGTGTTCATTTTCTGGATCTGCTTCAGCATATCCATTTCTTCCTGGGCTGGGGACACTGGATGTGGTATCCAGGTGGTATCTCACTAAAGCAAAGACTATCACCTGCCTCACTCTACTGGCCACATTCTTTTGATGTAGCCCAGGACGTGATTCACTTTCTGGGCAACAAAGCCATGTTGCTGCCTCATGTACGATTTTTTGTCCACCAGTATCACCCAGTTCATTTCCACATGGATGCTCCCTTAATTTCCTTAGTCTGTGTTGATAGTCTGAGGTGCAGGACCTTGCACTTGGTCTTGTTGAGCTAGATGAGGTTCACGTGGGATCCCTCCTGAAGTCTGTCATGGTCCCTCTGGATGACATCCCTTCCCTTCCTCCAGTGTGTCAACTCCACCACACGGCTTGATGTGGTTGGTCTTCAGACTTGCTGAGGGTACACTCAGTCCCACTGTTCATATCATTAGGAATGACTGTAGTGCCTTACAACTCAGTAACACTTCCTTGCATATCTCATTTCTAATAGCACAAATTGGGACTACTTTGGACCTTTGTTTGGTGTCTGAGTGATTATTATAGTAGTTTGGGAAATTCTTCACAATGTTGTAATTATTCCTTTTGGCAACATCTCAAGTGAGGACTAGGCCGAGTGACTGTATCATTATTGAAGCCTATGTAAAGTTTAAGTGGGTAGCAGTTGCTCTAGACACTGTATATTTAGCATTTTGGAATGCTAAGGTTCATTTGTCTTAAAAACCCACTAAACAATAAATTGGAAAAAGTGTCCGCATTTGCTGTTGGGTGTGGAATGGAGTTATTAGAGAATAAAAGAGTAAGTGAGATAGTTAAAGAGAATAAGGGAAGGCATATACTAGTCTGCGATGGAAAATGCCTGAAGAAACTTTTTCCTTGCAAATGTGACAAAATTATTCTTGGCGTTTTTGGGTCAGGCTGATGTTTGGGTTATTAGTAGGATAGAAATTTATTCAACTATCTCCTCTTTTAATGCAGAGTGTTTCTCTTGAAGCTATGAATCTATGGATTTTAGGATTTGAATCAATCTATACCTCTGTACAGATCATGTACATCTGTATCTAAAGGATCTGTAAATAATGATGCGTATGAAAGTTTAGTACTTTCTTTAAAAGCTCTTTGTGGTTGATATATGACTCTGTTTATTGTTTTCAAAAGAAAACTATGAATACTTTCTAAGTCTGAATTTTACAGAAATAGGAAATTTACTATTACAGTATATCATAACTGTAGATGTTCTTTTAACAGCAAGCACCATTTCAGAATGCAGGATGTCCATTATGCATGACGTAGGCAAACTCCTTAATTTTTGTAAATCTGTATTTCAGGTAGTTTTAGGCAGCATTTCCTTGTGACAACACACGCAGGCTCTCTGCCTGAGGTCTTCAATGTACATTTGTCTTGTTTTGGCTTTTCCTAACAAGTCTTTTATGCTTGCTTTTATATAGATATCTTGTGATCAAATACTCTTTTGTCCTGATGCAATTTTGGGGTGGCTGGTAACCACTGATGAGCTAAAACTTTGAACTACCAATAAAAACTGACCTTATTGCAACTTTTTTGGCAGTATTTTTTGTTAGCCTGTAGTAGTAGTTATGTTTGCAGTTCTCTGCATTGAGTGTTTTGCTTGTGTAGTTTCGGTCTTCTGAATTAACTTTCTGTGAGGCAGCATGTTGTAATGCTAGGGAAGTGCATAAAAGCATCCTGAACCACTATTGGTTCTGTGTCTGAGAAGGTGAACTCTTCAGACTTTTGAGTGTTTATGTAATTCAGTATGGAAAGAATATTGCTAATAATCTGAATTTTTTAAAAGAAAATCTCATGTCCACCAATAGTCTCATAGTTCATCACGATTAATGAGTAAGGATTATATTTTTATCATCAACACCAGTTCATGATTTTTACTAGATGTCCTTTTTCTGTTATCAAAAGGAAATATGGATATGAGCTTCAAATTTGCCTACAAGGAGGGTTAAAAGTAAAATCAACCATTTGCATTTTATTCTTGTTCAGTAGTTTGTTTCTTCTGTATGTGTTTATATACATCTCAATATAAATTGCTTTAGATTGCAGCTTCTTACGGAAAGGTGATTTGTATCTTTGAACCAGTCAACCTCTTGAAGCAGAGCAGCAGTCATCATAATGTAAGTATTTCATCACTCCTTGATTTGTTTGAGCAATTTTAAAGCCTGTCTCATTTTTCTGGTTTGCTTTAAAGTTGAAGGTTTTTTTTTTTTTATATGTTCTTTTAATGTTAGAATAAAATTGAGAAATAAGGTGGTTCTTGGGAAGTGAAAATGGTGGGATAAGAACAGAGCCCTGTTATTTGAAATAGTTTTAAGAAGGAAGGTTTTACTGCATTGCTTCATAGTACTTACTTATGTAACCCTGCAGTTCATAACTGAAGTATTCCAGAACTCAAAAAGACATACAGTCCTGTTCTGCAAATAGTATAGCCATTACAATAGGAATTCCTTTTTGAACCTTTTTGATGTGTTTTACATTTGTTACTTTAATTTTTGCTTATGAAACTATCTGCTTTTGGCCAAATCTATAATAGTTTAAAAATCTATGGCTTTTTTAGAATATCTGACTGAATGCTTATATTTCAGTGTTAGAATGCTGAATAAGAACAATATTTATTCTCTTAGTGATTTAGTGATTAACATACAGAATCTTAATTTCTGAGTAATAACATGTATAGAGCAAGTTATTTAACTGTGCTTCTTACATGAAGGGTAATACTCATATAGTTATAAGTGTTAGATTCTAATTAAAGTCAGTTTGATTATATGAGTACTTTGACTTGCAGTTGCTCGAGGAGCTTCTGTCTCCGTCTTCATGGATTTGGTCTCTCCATTTGTATTAACAAATTGCTTATATGACCATCTAGTGGATTGCCTTCTTTGTACTAACAAACTCAGTCATGTGATTCTTGGTGTAGTTATAAGTTTGTGGTATATTATATATTAATTAAATAACTGGCATTGAATATATAAATAATAATTTACATCACTGAAAAGCAGTGGAATAAAATAATGGTAAAATGTGAGTTCCTAAGCTCATATGAACGTTTTAGGTGTACTGCTCTCATATTTGGAACCACTGGAACCATTGAATCCATCCTGAATGTTTTTCTAGACTGGTAAACAGTACACTTAGCTTAAACTTCAAAGTTAGTGTAGTAACTGTAGGCAGCAGAGGAAGCACTCATCATCCATGATTTGCTTTCACATGCTTATAATTGAAGAAATATTCTGTTACTTCATTCTTTCAGTTAGCCTCTCTGCAGTAGTTTCCAGCATATTGTTCCAGGTTATTGTAAAATTGTGTCTGTCTTACATTTACCAGAATGTTCAGGTTCTTAAATGAAAAAAGAAAGAAAGAAAGAAAGAAAAACTAGGCTCAGAAATGTTTCATTTAGATCCTTATCAGCAGATGCTTCTTTTCTGTTTTGTACCAAACTTCTGAGAGATTGAGTTGTTGTATTTTAACTTTCACATCTATTTGATGTGATATTTTTGGGATGGGGGTTAATTACTTTAAAAAAGTCTGTCTTTGAGAATTAAAAGAAAAACATGTTTACTCAATATAATTTCAAATAATGTGTTCAGTTTCTTCTGTGATTGATGGCATCAAATCTTTGCAGTCTGCTATGGAAACAGACCAGATGAATTTAATTCTCAATTTGTTCCAGTGAGTGAACTAAAAACTAAAGATAATTGACTGTCCTATTGTATATTTAAAAAGAGGGGAAGGAAGTATCCTGTATGTTATCCTAACCTTTTTGAAACCCTCCAGTATCAACAGTGGCATGGATATCAAACACCAGGCACATTTACTGTGTTTCATTTTTTATATATCTTTTATTTGTTCCAAATTGCACTTCCCTTCTGGTGATTATGTATGGAATATTTTTCAATCTGTATTTTTGAAATATGAAGTTAAAAGCTTCTATATGTATGGTCATATTTGTGAAAAGATATTTTGTTTCAAAGAACAAATGAATTTTTACTAGATAAGCAGTAACTTACTTTAAACATCCATAAATTTGGAGAATGCAGTGAAGATACTCTATTTCTATTATAAAAAGAAGGAAGTGTTTTCATGCTCATGTTTGTGAATGCTTACAATTTCAGGTGCTACATTATCAGTGGCAGAAGAGTGCTCAGATCACACTGGAAACCATAGTACATAATCTAACATGGGATCCCACAGGTAGGAATAGAATAAAAGAAACATCTTTCTATTTGATACTAGTTTCTTATATAAGTTTTACCATTCTTTAAGGGACAAGGAAAAGATTTTTGTTTTGTCTTAACATGATGGAGAACACCAAGTGGAGTGAAATCTACCCTTTGTCACTTATAGGAAAACAAAAATACCAAGTGCATCTATATGGTTTGACTTGATTATTCTTGTCTCAGCCATTTTTAATGTTTATAACCATGAATTAAATGGTAGTGTTTGTTGAGAAAGAGGAGTGTCTACAGTAGGTCTTTCTTTTAGGGAATTGCTAAAATTTTATTAATTTTCACAGTTTGAACTGTAAATGCTCAAATCTGCCAAAAAAATCTAGAAAAGGTGTATCTGCCATATTTGTTCTACAGTTTCAACTTTGCTAAACCTTTTTTTCCTCTTTCTCTCTAAAGAAGTCTATATCTTCGTGCTTTTTTTGGAGTTAGATTGTTATAAATATTTGTTTTAGGTACTCGCCTCTTGACTGGTTCCAGTTGTCTTCAACTTTGGTCAAATGTTCCTTTGGAAAACCCTTCTGACAATGACAGTACGGAAAGGACACATATTGGACTTGGGGAGTGGAGATGTATCTGGCAATGCAAGTAAGAAATACATTTACAAATAAGCAATTCCTGTTTTCTTGCTTATTCATACCTTTCAGATAAAATACCTAATGTAGTTTAGTGAAATTATATTGCATAGTTATTTGATAAATGTTACTGATGTGCGATAAACTTTAATCATGTTTTCCTTGACTATGTGATGTTTGTTTCTTCTTACAAGATCAATTGTAATAGGTTTTGGGGGAGTTCATGTTCTTAAGCAGTTTTTCAGTTATATTGAACACTGGTAAAATACTGAGGGGAGGCTTAGTATTGAAGCTGTCCCAGTAGACCTTGTTCTTGTACAAAAAGTAAGGTGAAAGCTGCACAGTTGAAAATTATTGTACTTGCAGGACTAATGAAAAGAAGCTTTCTTCTGTGTTCTGTGTAACATCTCCCACCTTTCACACACCTTTTACTTTTTCTGTGTTTATTCTGGCTATTTGGAACAGTCGTGGCAAGGTTGATGTATTCTGGTTTACTGTGTCTGTGAATGCTCTTGTATTCATGTTGATTTTAATATTTGCGTCTGTGAATTATTAGTACATTTAGAACAGTTTTAGTGTAGTGCTTCAGTTTATAATACAGTTTAAATGATGGTCCTTCCTGCTATAAGAGGACTTTTCTAGTGTCTTGGGTGCACTGTTTGCTTGGGAGCACTATTCACTTGGCAGTCTCCTAAATAAGTTTGCCAAGATGGCTGCTGGACGGGCTTACCTGAGGTTATGCTTCATGAAGCTTTTAGCGTTGCTTGGGCAGTTCTCTGGATGAACTAGAACATCTTTTTTTAATCCTTCAGTTGTTCCTTTTTCTCTGTAGTTGAACTTTTATCAAGGATGTGTTTAAAATCCCAAGATCATCCAAATGACAACTGAAAAATTTCTCTTCGTGTATGATGAACTTTCTAAACATAATAAGTTGAAGATTTACTCTGTTTATTTTGACACCTTTGGTTGCTCATCTCTCATCCTAATAAGGGGAGAAGTCAGCCTGTAGGTGGAATGCTGTGGAGTATGGCTTTAGAATCTGGTGTTGTGGTACCAGTAGTCAAGATCATACAAAGGTAGCGCTTTTCCTCTGTCTTTTCTATAATATATTTTGCATTTGTGTCAAGTATGAAGACTTACAGAAGTCATCTTAGCTCTCCACCTGTTTTCCTCTTTAAAACTTTTTACTGGAGACAGAGCTGAGTGTTTTCTTCTTTGAACTGGTACGTTCTGGCAAGGGTCAGCATAACTTGCCTTCTCTATTCACCTTTTATGCCTGTATGTTTTCTGGCATTTTTACTGCAGTTAGATTTAGAATAGGTTTTTCTTAAGGGCAAGTTTGCAAGACAGTGATTTTGTGTTACTACCGGAATAATTTTTAGTGTCTAAAGGAAACATACCCAGATGTCTTCGTACTTAAACCTGAGTGGGTTTCTTTGATACGTGGCTCTTGTAATTGCCTTGCTGTTGTTACTGCACACAGTAAATGCATTATGCTTTTGTTGACCTGTTGGCCACCTAAATCCTTCCTGAAAATTAAGCCTCAACAACTTGATATAGGTATCTAATAAAATCTAGATGAAAATGTACATTGTATCTGTGCTGCACAATTAAATTCCTGTATGTTCTTATTGCCGTTAACAAGCCTGTCACTTAAGCAATAGCTCAGTGCTTCCAAACCTAGAAAAGGACTTCATTTATTAGTACTTCCAATTAAAGTAAAACACTACAGAAACGAGCCACATAATTAGGTTTAGAATATGTGGCATCTTACATCACTCTGACCATTCCTGTAAAAACTGCTTTCATATACTACTTCATTATTCTTTTAATACCTTTTTGGTTTCTGCAGTTGTAATTATAGGAAGTATGAGCTCTCTTTCAGATAAGTTGGAAGATAATATGGGACAAGAGACACCAGTTTGAAATCCAAATGATTGCAAAGTAGAAGTAGAACAGTCTCATTTCTTAGCAGCTGTTTTTCTTTTATGATATTTTTGAATATTGGATACTGTAGCACCCTCAGGTTTTCTTGTGTGACCACAAGATGTTGCACATGAGTTTACCTTCTAGTCCTTTTGAAATTTTGTTAAAACTTGGTTGTTTCACAAAACACAGTATACACTTGTATTTAAGAGTTAAATGACTTTCCTAAATTCAAGGCAAAAAAAACCTGTTTAAAATTCTAAAAAAGTTTTTAAATTTTTTTCTCTTTTTTTTCTTTTTGTCGTAGAACTGCTTCTCAAGTTTGTTTAATGAAATTCTCACCAGATGGGGAATTTTTTGCTACTGCTGGAAAGGTAAGCTTTTTTTTCCCCTAATAGTATTGTACCAATTCAGATAAGCTATTGAAGCAAACAAACAAAAAATATGTAAAATAAAAGGCAACTATTTAATTAAAAAATTATTTTTTTCTATTTTTGGCATATCTGTCTATGCATCTTTAGGTTTTTGTAAACAGTAAGTTGGGAGAATAGCAGTTTGAAGTAAGGAAGCAACGCACTAAATATTCACTGCTCACTATTTTAAAATACCCATTTTTAATTGGTACCAAATTATAAGACATCAGAAAAAGAAGATCTGGGGAATGGGAGAAATCTGTGGATAAGATCTCTGCTGGATATCCTTCTAGTGATGAAATACATTCAGGATTTCACTATTACTGTGACACCATTAATAAAAAAGAGCTCTCTCATATGGTTTTTGTCCAGACATGACTGGATGCCTACTTGTTGTCACAGAAGAGAATTCACGTTCCCCTCCGTAGGTGTATTCACACATCATTAATGTCAGTGTTTGAGACCAGTCGCACAGATTACTTCTGTGTGCAGCACTGGGCAATTTAACAGCAAAAGCAAAACCCCTTGGGAAAATAAGCAGAAAAAATTAATGCAGAAAGTCAGTCTTGTCTTTCCTCTTCCTGAAACAAACTAATCTTTATTTATACTCCAAAACTTGTTACTCAGGTTTTGTAAGAGAATAATGTCCTAACCAGTCGAAGCAGAAAAAAAAAAATCAAGATCACGTGTAGGATAAGTGAACAAATATGACAAATACATGCGAGAATTTATATTACTTGTTAAGGAATTTGAATGAGATTATTCTGCAAATAATACTATTGTCTTTATTTGAGAGGAGAGTCACACTGACATTGGTCAAAAAGTTAGAATAAGAATGTCCATATCCATCTTGTTAGAATTTATGGAATTATCGAAGTAGATTGTGGAACAAACATACTGGTTTCAGGTACTGTTTTGAAAAACGTAGCTGAAAACTTGATAGTATAAGGAGTTTTAGCACAGATTAATAGATGAAGGTAGGCATTGAGTTCGTGCTGCCAACCACAGAACCTAGCAGAGACTGCGGAGTAGAAAGGAAACAAAATGCTAGTATGTAAGATTAATTGGGACAGTGCAGTTGCTGAGATTAGTGAAAACCTGGTTTAAGTGTCACAGAATCCTGAGCAGTAGTAACTTGACAGAATGAGTTTCAAGACTGAGGAATGAAAGACATTTTTGCAATCTAGTCTGGTCTGCCTTGGAATCATGAATGAAAAATGAGTGTGTACATGTAAAGAATGGTTAGAACAGTGTTTGATATAGTGTGGAACTTTGCTGTTTGGATCATAATGTGCCTTAATATGTGCTTGAAAAGCAAAGATTCAGGGATGGTTCAGTTTGCAAATGAACCTTGCTTTTGAAAGGTAGTTGTTGTGCATATTTTCATGATTCACTTCTGCGCATCAGGAACAGATGAGTAATGCACATCTTGATTAGTTGTAGGTGTTTGTTTTTTACTTTAAACTTGCCATTTCAGGTCATCATGCTTGCTCGATGCATGAAAGAGTAACTTTTAAGGCATTTGCTGTCATTAAAGAAGAGATAAAGGTGCAACAAATCTGTAAAATAATCTAGATTTCTTTTTCTAGAGAAACTATGTTCCAGTCAACTAGCTTCCAACATACGAAGTGAAAAACTAAGACTTTCTTGATAATAAGTTATATTCTGTATAGTAACAAAGAAGCATTTTTGTTTTGCTTATTTGGATGGTGCATTGGTTGCTCTATGTTCTATGGTGCCTTTAGTCATTTACTGACTGAAAGAACCATTCCAACCATGTTTCAGATAACTATTACTTACAAAAATTGTCTGAGTACATGTTTTATTAAAAAAAAAAAAAAGTGTGTTGTCATCGTCAGCGATATAATCTATATGTATTACACTTTTTTTGTTGGGTAGGAGTTAGTATTTATTTTATAAATCAAGTTTTAATGGATTCTGATGTTATGACTTGATGGAATTATGGAAAAATTAATTAATCTGCAAGTAGCTTCTGCAGGGGTAATACTCTTGCAGAATTTTTGACCAGCATGTCTTATGTCCTGTTGTGTTACCTTAGATTATAAACTCATGCGAAGCAAAATTACTGAATAAGTAAAAAAAATTAATAAGCTGGAAAATTAATAACATATTTTTTACCATAAATGCTTAAGTCAGTTACCTGCCTGGACAGTCTTTAAAACACATCTTTATTTAAAACACATCTTTATTTCTTCATTTAATTTTTTATGAGGGGCAATGCTGGTGAGCTAAACGAACTCCCCCTCCTCCCAGTAGGGTCATTGCTTGATACAGTATTTCAGTGCCATTCATATTTAATAGCGGATCAACAACATGAATCTAGATTCAGATTAATTTATCTAGTCCTTGAAGGCATAATCAATTTGTATGTGTATCTGACAAAAGCAGATCGAGCAGTACTGAGCCTAATTTTTGACATGTCATCTATGACCTTTATGTGTTTTCCTAACACTTAAATTTGTGCCGGGGGGGGGGGGTTGACTGTTTGCTGCCAAGGTACGATTACTTGTATTAACGTTTTAATACCATTTCAAGCTAATGCAGCTTGAATTTTTGTGGTTAAAAATTGGCAGCTAATGAGTAGGACCAAAATTAAATCCTGTTAGTAATGGTGAGCAAGTTAAATGGAAGCTCTGCTACTGTGTTTTCTTTAAGATGAAGTTTTGAAGTTGTATTTACTGAACTTGTTTCTGTAAACTGGACTGAAATTTTTTCTCTGTGATCAGAAGAGTATTTTACTTTAAAGAAGAATGAAATATCAAGAGACGTACCTGGAAGTACCTGAAGTTCGTAACACTCTTATGGAAAGTAGTTTTATTTACTGCCTTTTTTTTCCCCTTTCCACAGGATGACTGTCTTGTGAAAGTATGGTACAACACAGAGAGCTGGCGATCAGCCATAACACCACCTGGTATCAATCCTGAAAACCAAGCAAAAGAAATCGATTTTTCATTTGTTTATTTGGCTCATCCTCGGTCAGTGAATGCATTTTCATGGAGGAAGACCAGTAAATTCATGCCACGGTCAGTAGTTCTAACAACATGAAGTTCATAAATTGCCCAAAAAATCCCCCGAATTATACAGTCTTCCCAGCTGTCCAGTCAACAGTCACACATATTGTATGGTTTACTTCAGTTACTAATTTTATACTGTTTGTGTGTGTTCTTGAGAGGTAAGCATCCTCTTACCTGGAAAAGAACTAGAAAGTCAGAAAGGGAAATTCAAGTAAAATAATAATTTGGAACTGATACCTTGCGTTTGAGCTTTTCTGGGGGTATGTTCTGATGATTCAAAATGACCTGTCTCTAATTTCCACCAGTAATTCCAGTCTCAAACTGTGCCCTGCAACCACTTTTCGGCTGTATTATTCCAAATAGTAACCAAATTTGCATACCTTTATGTGGAGCAAGTTTATGCTGTCCTTTATACCACCCTTTAAGCAGAAGATTCTTCATAAAGCCATTACTTTAGTTCTTAAATCACTTCTGAAAATCCATCTGCTCTGTGATTCCTAAGGGAGTTTTGTGCTGACAGTCTAGTTAGATGATCTGTATATCTTTTGAGCCTTAGATAAAGTGTAAACTTAAATGAACTGGAAATCTTTTTCCAGTGTCTGGTTGAGGGTAGTTGGATTTTTTGGCTATATATGTAACACAAATGCATTTGGAAAAATAGTAATTAAGAAAAAATTGTAGCTTTCAGTTGGCTGTTCTGTCCCTGGTATGACTTGGTTTCTGTCTTTTGTGTATAGTTTTTTAAGTGGCAGATAGTGGTAAGATCTGGAATTAAGAACAGGTATCTAGGATATTACTAGCTTTTTATGTGAACAGCTTTAAAAGGAGAAACATAAATTTTGCTGTTACAAGTATGAGTTATTCTTTAAATTGAAATTCACGATTTGCTGTTGCACTGTTGTGTGATGAAGTTTGAGGTAATTTATAGTCAGATACTTTAACAGATAGGAAAGCCTTTGATACATCATTTGTTTTCTTAAGAATATAGTGATAAGTTTTTCTTTCATTAGTATGTTTAAGTTCCTTGGTGCAATTCCAAAAATGGCTTGGAACTGTTGGTTTATTTTGTTGCTATGTAATAGTAAGCAGCTTTTTCATACCTTAAATTTTCTTTCTTTAGTGGTGCTGTCTGCAATGTACTCCTGACTTGCTGTAAGGATAATGTTTGTCGTCTCTGGGCAGAGACTTTGTTACCCAATGACAGTCTCTTGTATGGTGGAGGATACAGCAATTGGAGTGAAGCTGTGAACTTTTCAAATAACTTCAAGAGAAATATTTCAAGCAAAGAAAAAGTGCAAAGTGCTTTAGAGGTAAGAACTGAAATGGAACAGTGAGAATAAACACTTGTACAAACATGTAATTTTAGACAGGTTTGTAATTATAAACTCAGACTTGTATCATAAACTGAAATCCTTCATACCAGAGAAGTGGATAAAATGCTATAAAAGGATGAGTTTCTTTGAAATCTCCCTTGGGAAGTCTAAGCTGACAGCTCTCCTACTGAACTTCTCACATTAGAAGACACGCTGTTCTTAAGTCCCAGCTGGCTATTTTCTTCTGGTGACTGAAGAAAAATGCTTTACAGTATCTAGTTCAAAAGGCTAGGAACAGTAAGGAACACATGCTGTATTTAGGGTATGTGAAACACAGGAGTGATACTGCCTTAAAATGTGTGGTAGGGGCTCACTTGTTACCTCTGAAGTTGTGGGACGTTCTCTGACTTCTGCAGTTGGAAAAACAGTGGTCATATGGAGGTAAGAAAAATAGCCTTTCTGCTGTAGTCCTCAAGTAGAGCAGATTGCTTGTAGACTTTAAAGCAAATGATCCTTGACAGTGTTTTCTAACCAGTGGGAATCAGGAAGAAGGAGAAGCAGTGTTATGTAGGGCTTATATGCGTTTATCTTAATGGAGTTACGTGTTTAGCATGCTTACAGTGCTTTCTTAGCACATAAGACATATAGGAAAAATATGACAGGCTGAAAGGCACAACAGAGCAAAAAACAAAAGTCAAAAGATGGGAGAGAAAGGGAAAGTTGGAGACAGTTCTGTGTTGAAAATAAGAGGCAACATTAGAGGTCAGAAACAGCAATTATATGAGAATTGAGAAAACACTGTTTTACATTAGCATGCTGCGTTAAGACGCAAAGCACAGCAAGTGAAAAGGAATTACAAGGGTGTAATACTGTCCTTAGTACAAACTGTGTATCTTTGTGTACCTTTATGTGTTTATATAGATGCCTACAGCACAATGGGCTTGAGCTAAGTCAGTCTTAAAAAATCTAATACTACTTTTTCCCTTGGAAACATACTTGCATAAAGGAGGAAGACCTTTAAACTCGTTGGGCCCTTATGAAATACTGATCTAATTAGATCCAATATTGGAATCCGATTTTTCAGTCTCTGAAATGGGACTACTGACATTTACTGTTTTGTTCAGAATCCTGAATAAGCATGGTATATGTTTATGAAACACAATAATATTTTCCGAGTGTAAAAACTGTGTGAACATTGTCTGCATGCTGGAACACGAAGTAGTTACTTATGTGAAGGTGTTTTATGGACCTTCATAAGTAAATCTGAAGGCAGTGGTATCTTTCTATTGCAGACACCACCCAAACAGCGCAATGTTGCAAGAAACTCCACTAATTCTTTAAATTAGCTTTTAAACTGAGAAATACAATTCAGTAGTTTCTGGAAAACCACTTACAGATGAAATCTGCTTTTTCTTTTTGAAAGGAATTAAAATGACACCTTATTCTTAATGCAGTTAAACCTGAGGCACTTCCGACGAGGAAGGAGGAGGTCAGGTGCTGTTGTAGCACATACTGGATATGCTCTGCATCAGCAAGATCCCCATGAAGTTCACAGAAACATCCCTCCTCATGCAAATGCCCTTTGTCACTTCCATATTGCTGCCAGCATCAACCCAGCCACAGGTAAGAAAAGTGGTCAATCCTTGCTACAAAGTGAACTGCAATTTCTGTCAGGTATGTGTTCTCTGTGGAAGCTTAACAAATGTATTTGTACAGTATTTACATGATCATGCAAAATTGCTGGTATGTTTGTTTCATTTATATGTGAAAGAACCTTCTACATAATGAAATTATTTGAATAAATTTTCTCTCCTGTCTTTCATTTTGTCATCTTTTAACTGAGATTCATAGTGGTCTAAGATGGGATAAGATAAGTATTTGTAACTGGAGCTACAATTTACTGTGAATTGTATGTGATATTGGGAATGCACTGATAAAATGAAAAATAACCACATGTTCCAGTACCTCTTTTCTGTCTCTGAACAGAACAAAACACACCTTCATTTAGCATTCCAGAAACTTTAGTACTGTCTAGCACTCAAACAACATGATAAGCATTGAGGAAACTCATCTGCAGTTACTAATATTTCTGTCTTTATAATCTTTGTGTATGCTGAAAATGAAGTGCATATCTGCTTATTGCAAAACTGAATAAAAATGCAGTATTAAATGGGCTTTCATTAAGGTTTTACTACTGGTACCTGGTTTTCTATATCTAGACTTAAAGAACAAATATATTATGTAATTCTTACTTTAAACTAGTTAAGCTCTGCCTTACAGTATTTTAAAATTGTTCCTACTGATCCTTGTTTGCAAGGCCAATTTTGATCTAAAGGCATTGATGATGAGTTCATATTTGTAACTGTACAGTCTTTGGTATGATTGTAAAGAACAAGTGGTTTCCTTTAAAATTGCTGTGCTAGGCAAAGCTGTAAACACTTTCTCCTCCAGGAATAACCTCCAGCATTTTTAGTATTGGTTCATTTGTTCATATTTTAACAGATAGGACTAGAATCACATCGAGCCTACCAGAGAGAAACTTCTTTCAGTTTTCTCTTGTACCATCAGTGCTATCCTGTAGGAGAAGTCTCCAGTCATTACTTATGTTACTACCCAGTTTCATAGGGGAAAATTTCTTCAAAACTTCTTGGAGATTTGTATTTTTCTTCTGTACTTTCTCATCTGCAGATTGCACAAGGAGCTAGATAACTTTTTCATGTGGCTAGCACATAATCTTACACCCTCCTTTTTTTTTTTTTTGTATGTAGTTTTTTCTTATTATTTTTATACACAGTAGGTAGTGCTGTGTTTCAAACCCAGCCTGCCACCAGGCCTCAAGCAGCCACTTGCTCACTCCCCTGTCAGCAGGACTGGGGAGAGAATCAGAAGGGTGAAAGCCAGAAAACTCCTGATTTGATAGAGTTTAATAAGGAAAGCAAAACAAGAAATTATTTCACTGCTTCCCATGGGCAAGCAGGTGTTCAGCCATCTCCAGGATAGCAGGGCTCCGTCACGTGTTAAGGACTACTTGGGAAGACAAACACCATCACTCCTGACATCCTTCCTTCCTCCTTCTTACCCCCACTTTTTGTGCTGAGTGTGATGTCATGTGGTCTGGAATATCCCCTTGGTCATCTGTTCCAACTGTGTCCTCTCCTCACTTCCCATGCACCCTCAACTTCCTTGCCAGCGTGGGAGTACAGTAAGGAAAAAAGGCCTTGTGTCTATATAAGCACTAACATTGCTCAGCAGTAACCAGCAAAAACATCTCTATATTATCAACCCTGTGTTCAGCGCAAATGCAAAACACAGTCCCATTCCAGCCACTGTGAAGAAGATTGACTACCCTAGCCAAAACTATCCAATGCAACTAAATAAACTTTGATTGTGCTTTTAATAGTCTTTGTAATATAAATTCACCTAACAGCAAATTCACAGAAGCAGAATAAAAATAATTTTGAGAAAGATTGGAAGAATATTATCCTAGTTATTCAAAACTTGTCTTTGGCCTTTTCAGTCTTACATTCTTTTTATATTATCTGTATTAATCTGTGTCCAAATACTGTCTTTTGGATCATTTGTTCTTTAACTCAGTTGACTGGAAGATAACAGGTTGTTCTTTAAAGTAACTTTAACATTCTAAATATTAATTTGAAGAAGTGTATGGTCTTCCTTACAGACTAGTCCTTAAGTATCTTAGTCTAATGAGATTTTCTAAGTAGGCCTTTTAGTTTACCCTTTTGAAATTGGATTTAATCTGAAAACCTAATTGTATTTCCTTTCATTTAATTTAAAACAAATCAGTTTGTGATCTCTCACTTGAAAATTTACCCTTACTACATTTTAAAGTAGTTGATAAAAACTTAAGGCCAAAACAACTTCACATTTTGAAGAATAATGCTGTCATATATAAGAATAAATATAAAATTTCATATAGTATACAAAATCCTTGAGACCTGCTTTTATATGATGGTGTTATTTCAACAGATGTTCAGCCTGGGTGGAGTTCAGTGAAAGGAATAAATGGTAGTTACTACGACAAAATTGTCTCTAGGTAATTTCAGAAAAAGTTCTTCCATCCAAAGGCATTAGGGTTTTTCTGGAAAGAGCGATTGTGATTTATGAAGCAAATAGAAATTCACCAGGGATAATGTTCAGAGCTGAGCATCAGTTAGAAACTGGTAGTTTTGAGGTAGGAGAATGGAAAAAAAAAAAAGTGATTTCTTATTGGAAAATTTATCTTTTTAGTTCACCTCATTCAGTTTTGTGTTGCAAAAAGAGGTCAACAGAATTTTTCCCTCCAAGATCTGTTACTATCCATATGTATAATGCTGTTTTTGAGACTGGCATTGGCCTGTTTAAGAAGACAGACTCTATTTCTTAAATGATCTGTGCCTCTCTTGCCCCCTTCACCTGCTTTATCCCCTTCCCACAGTAAAACTGCTGGTTCTCCTGGTAGTCCTTTTATCTGTGATCTCTCAGTTATAATTTTTTTGGCTAGATTGGAGGATGAGTAATTTAAAACTATTATTGTCTTTGATTAAAAACAACAGATTTTGAGTGAAAAGTAGTTTGTCTCCCAGGACATGGAATTTAAGTAATGCTGCATAAATAGGGAGCAGAAGGAGATGACAATATAGATGGAGGTTTCTAGGTAGGAATGAGCTTTTCTAGGTAGTAATGAGGTGGCAAAGCTGGTTGAGCTTTTAACATGTTGCTGTATCAGTTATTTGAGGAAATTTCAGTAAATCATATACCTGCCTTTTAGCCATGCGTAATTTAGATGACGTTACTCTGCAGCAGTCTGATCCTTGCTTCTGTCACACGCATTGTGATTACTGCTGTGTTTTTTCACAGCAACATGGGACACTGGTTACCATCACAGTGCAATGTCAAATAACAGAATCGGTCAGAATTAGATATTCTGGGGTTCTGTGATGATGTTAAAGAGGGTGTCTAGTCACTGTATTAGTTTTTGCTTGTGTAAACCCATGGTGTTTGATTACAGTGTATATCTACTGCAGCATCCATTGTGGACTAAATGTTGGAAATCATGCCTAAATTGTTTGATTCACACTGAGCTGTAGTAGCAAAAGACAAGGTAAATTAACCTCTATGTGCAGTGTTACATCAAGAAGATAAAACCTTGCAGGGCCCTACTGTGATCTTAAGGTAAGCATAAAAAGGAACTGCTCTGTGAAACATCTATTGTGGTGACTAAAAACAGATCATGCTGGTGAAAGGAATGGCAAGTGGCAATACACTGTGTATTTTTTTTATGACAGAATTTCTGCTTAAAAATAATTTTTCTAAAATGATTTTTTTGACCAAACTATGTAGCTTTAAAAAATGTCAACATCTTTTTCTGATAGATATCCCTCTACTCCCTTCTATCACATCCTTGAGTCTTGGTGAAAATGAAGAAAAAAGTGGACCTTTTGTTGTGCACTGGCTAAACAATAAAGAACTTCATTTTACCTTATCCATGGAAGTGTTTTTGCAGCAACTTAAAAGGAGTTTTGAACATCATTCTCCTGAGACTAATACTGAGGAATCTAATCAAATGGATGGCAGATCAGAAGAAGGTAAAAGTTACAGAGACTTACGCCATTTAGAAAAGTGGCTTTCATTTTAGAAAGTAGTTTATAATGTTCCTTCAGGTAAAGTCAGAGGTGGGCAACTTGACATGGGATAATATTAAGGAAGCAGGTGCAATATTTTGAGTTAACTTATTTTTCTTTTAGATATTAACATATACTTCATTTAAATAGCTCTACTCTGTAACAATATATTCAATTGATTTATATATTTTAGAGCTTGGTGCTCATGTTCTGTGTATGCGTGCAAAGATTTGTATAAAATGTGGAAAAAAAAAAGTATTTCAAATTAAGGTGCATTATAAGCTATATTGATGTATTAGACATTGAAGTCCACTAGAGGATTTCTGGTTATAATTTTCATTCTTTTAGATTAGTTCTTTAATTTTAAAGTGGCTCTCATAGGATTGTCTTATAAAAAAGACCTGAAAGGTACTCCAATGCCTGAATTAACACCACTTGTTATATTGCTGGGTTTGAATGTAATATATATTTATATATCTGTGAAATAGAAGCTGATGAGAATGGGGATGAACAAAAAGGAAACCAAGAAAAGAAGGAACTGAGCGATGAGAAAACTACTCCAGATTCAAGCCTTGTTCCTTTATCTTCTGCTATTATTGATCATGAAATTGAAGTTCTGCTCTCTGAATGGAGTAAAAATGCTGACATGCTATTCAGTATACATCCTATGGATGGTTCACTGCTGGTGTGGCATGTGGACTGGCTGGATGAATACCAGCCTGGCATGTTTCGCCAGGTGCAGGTACATTATTTCTTCTGCATTATACAGTGTTGCTCATGGAGAAGTATGATGAAACAATAACTAATACTTACTCTTCCTTTCTTAAAATTCCAGGTGTCATTTGTTTCGAGAATTCCTGTTGCATTTCCAACGGGTGACGCAAACTCTCTTTGCAGAAGTGTAGTGATGTATGCTTGTACCAAAAATGTTGACTTAGCTATTCAACAAGGCAAACAAAAGCCTCCTGGCCTTACAAGATCTTCATCTATGCTTTTCTCTTCTGGACACAGTAAATCAACTAACAGTTTAAAACTAAGCATCTTCACACCTAATGTTATGATGATTTCCAAACATGCAGATGGGTCATTGAACCAGTGGCTAGTGAGTTTTGCTGAGGAATCTGCTTTTTCAACTGTACTCAGTATTTCACATAAATCCCGATATTGTGGTCACCGTTTTCATCTTAATGACTTGGCTTGCCACTCAGTATTACCACTGCTGCTTACAACCTCACATCACAATGCTCTAATTTCACCAGATGTTGAGAATGCAGTACAGGCAAATGATTCTTTAAAGTCTCAGGAGTCACCAGTAAGACTTCAGAGTAGAGCCAATGCAGATATGACATCCCAGGATCCCAATGCGGTTTACAGTGAACTTATTCTTTGGAGAGTAGATCCTGTTGGACCTTTGTCCTTTTCTGGTGGAGTTTCTGAACTTGCCCGGATCAATTCTCTTCATGTTTCAGCTTTTTCTAATGTTGCATGGCTGCCCACACTTATACCCAGCTATTGCCTTGGTGAGTTTTGTTTCCTGATCTGTGAAGTGTTTTAAAATAAAAGTAAATAACCTTTAATGCTTTTAAATAGATAATGTAGAAATACTTGAATGTAATGGAAAAAATATTAAGTATAGGTCCTTCACAAATTTGCAAGCTTCTGATACTTGGAAATTCTTTATTCTTGTGTGAAGATTTGCTGTGGTTTTCTGTCTTATTTTATGTATTTGATTTTTTAGGAGCTTATGCAATAAAGTTCTTAAATACTAGTGCATACTTCAGAGCATGTTGAACACTTAAAAGCTGAGGAAGATTTAGCTCTAGTTTGCAAACGGGATTCTCATTTCCTTTAAATACTTTGATTTGGTTGCTGAGCACAGCATTAAACTTTGTAGTTCTTGCTTGTGAATAGAAGTTAACAGGAGATATTTTCTATGCTGCGTTGTTTTTTGTCATAACTTCAAAATTACCTCTTGTCCAGAAAAAAAAAAAAAAAGGAAGCAAGTTAGGGTTTGAATAGTTGAGCTCTTTTTGCCTTCCTACCTTTTAGGTGCATACTGTAATTCTCCAAGTGCCTGCTTTGTGGCTAGTGATGGACAGCATTTGAAATTATATCAAGCTGTAATAGATGCTACGAAACTTTTGTGTGAGCTCTCCAATCCAGAAATTTCTGTAAGTGAAAAGCCATCTCAAGTTTTTGCATGTTGCAACTTCATTCAGTCTCACTAGGCTCAGACATGTTAGTAACTAAACTGGTTGCTGAGGATTTCACAGGTGATTCTGCTTGTAAAAACAGATAAGATAAAACTTTTTTTAGCCACTGCATATCATTTAATCTCAAACTCGGCATATTGAGGCAGGCCAGTGTTTGATTGGGAAATACCTCTGAAAGGACTACAAGGAATAATACCTGTGTGCATGCACACACATCCTAAGGAAAAGCTAAGATGACAATGCAGCTTGGGGAAAGGACAATGCATTGCTAAATGTGGGGCTTTGCAGATATTCTTGTCAGTTTTCAGCCATCCAGACCGTATGTGCTCTTTCGAAATGGGGAATGTTACCTGTGTTCTTACTGAATCACAACCAGTGTATATTTAGTGCTTTAGTAACATTTGCATAATGATATTGCACCTGCATGGCAGGCTGTATCACAGAAATGCACAAAACTGAGTTAACAAGACCACCCCTCTGACTCTTTTTAAACAGAAGTATGTTGGTGAAGTTTTTAACATCATAAGTCAGCAATCTACGGCTCGCCCAGGGTGTATCATTGAACTGGATGCTATCACAGAGCTTGTAAGATTTTTCTCCTATACTCATTTTTCACCATAATTAGCTTTTTAAAAAAGGGTTAATAGTAAACACAATACCTGCAGCTCTCTGTCAGGTAAAGATGAGGTATTTAAAGACTGCTTGTGGCGTATACTTGCTCTTGTTTTCAGTAGTGCCTGTAAGTGAAGAGAATGTGAGTAATGAAGGTGCATCTTCATCAGAAATCTTTCACTGATGTGCATAACTTATCAAGTTGAAAGCTCCCATGTTAGAGAGTGATCTTAAGCAGTACACTCCATAATGTTCACTGCTTGGATGTGTTTTTACTTTCTTAGCATGGCCGGAAGACACAGTTATTCCATGTTTTTCAAGAAGACTTCATTTTAAATAACCAGGAGAAGGAAATGCCTGCAAAGAAGAACAATTTATCAGACTCTGGTAAAGAATTCTTTTTCATGGAACGTTGAAATTTTCATTCCACAGAAGAAAAAGAACTTGTTTAATAGCTTTTGTCATTTTAAGGTCAAATACCTTGCTTTGAGATTTTCAGAAGAATATCTGTGGAATTCATGGGTGTTTCACTTCCTCTGAGTTATGTACAACTAAATTTTAGATAAAGTAGTTTAAATCATGAGATACCCCTTATGTAGTATATTAAGCAGTCCCTTGCTGATTCAGTCTTACATGAGAGGGAAGGGGTTTTAAGTGTGGAGCCCCTAGTTGTAGAGTATGACACAGAGATATCTTATTGTATCCTGTCATGGTGGATGTTCATTCTTTACATCAGCTAAATACTGCTTCTAGGGCTTTGCATGGTATAATAAGTGGCAGACCAAATAATTCCCCCTCACTAGAATACTGTGAGTAGTGTGTGGATTTGTTGGTCTTGGGGCAGATCTTAGTTGTTGTGGAACAAATGATTTGTTTTCCTTAGTGGAGTGGATCAGTGATTCTGTTAGACAGTTGTCACAGTTTTGTGTTGTTCTGTTCCAATAATATAGTGTGGGGAAAAGAGGGACGGAGTAAAATTTGTAATACTGGGGTCATCTGCAGTAGTAAAGGAAGTCCTAAATGAAAGGAAGCAAAGGCGTGGAAAAGTGTCAGTGGGACCAAAGAACATACTGCCTGAACTGTGTATTCATAGTGATCATTTGTGAATGGGCTGTTTCTACTTGAGGAAAAGATTTAGAGCAGTGGAGATAATCCTAATCTTCAGCAGAGTTCAAAAGCTGCGAATAGGATGTCGAAAATTAGGCACAAAACAGAGAACAAAAGGAAGTGTTACTCTACACATATTTGTGTGTTTACATCTTGAGTATGATACACAGAGAGGATTTAAAAAGAAATGTGGAAGACGTTTGATCTTAGAAAAGACAATTGTATACATCTGTATGTGTTCTGAAGGCCTGCATGGATTGCTGCCATGTAAGGAATTGGGCTAAATGGAAAATCGTAAATTAGTACTGGATCGTTTGCCTACGCTGTAAAATGAAAGTATTTTCTAGTACTTTAAAGCCTTTTAGTTTTTTAAAAAGACACTCTTTCATCCTTAATAATGCATAAAGATATTTATGTCATGTTGTTTTTAAAAATAACTAATTTTTTTTCTCTAGTACCATAAGCACCACCATGTCAAACACAAAGGGCAAATACAGCTTTTTCTTGATCATGTGTTATGTAAATGCACACCTAAAGAAAGGTCAGGGAGGAAAGATGGTCTCTAAACTATTCCTGCTTGGTTCTAATGGGTTTGATACTAAGAAGGGAGATGGGCTTGGTACACCCTCCAGAAATGGGCTCCTATTAATTGTACAACTTGTGTCCTCTTTTCTTGGTATGAAACTATAGTAAATTAATTCTTAGGAAGAAGCATTGCATCTCCTGTGTGTTCCAGACTATGTGTAGACCCTGTCTATATATAGTTGGTCTGGGTGGGTTGTGACCAACAAGCCTAGCTATTAGACCAAGCTGTGACTTCACAAATGTGGACATGGCATTTCTTCTTTAGATATAATTTGTGTCATTTTTATACATGAAAGCCAAATCTCTGTAACTGTTACAGTTACCACTAACACATAGTTAAGAAACTGTGAGACATGTAAAAGACAAAGGTCCAGAGCTGATAGTACATTCTGGGATAGTACATTCTGCGATAGTACATAGCTTTATACACAGTAAAGTCAGCCAAATATGTCATCTCTAAAAGAAAACATTGACAATTCTTACATGAGTGTATCCATAATTGTAGGGGTTGTTGGTTGTGATGAAATACTGAGAAAACTAATGTGACGGATATAGTCAGACTGTTTCAGTATTAGTTCTTGGTAGCTTAATGTAACTATTTGCTAGCCAGCAAAATTTAGTTCTGCTTTCAGGTGAATAACCCCTAAGATCTTCCTCTTCTCAATTTCATCAGGAAACCAGCAGAATGGATTCTCTGAAAAATTCTACTTAATAGTAATAGAATATACTCAAAGCCGCTCATTACTACATATGTGGCATTTACATTTGAAGTCAGTTCCTGTCTCAATAGGTAAGCCTTCTTCATTGTAGTTTTCTTTTAAAAAGTAAGTTACTATCTAGTGAATATATCTGCTCTTCAATGTATTCTGAATTGTATTTCATCTTTTTGAAAATAAGCTGCAGTTGATTGCAAGCTTTTATCACTGCCCATTTTTTCTGGATTACTTTTTCTTCAGAATGCTGAAGTTTTTGAGTTCAACCTGAGCCCAGGGTTTGGTATTTTTTGTGCATTTAAGGGCACATATATTTAACTGGGTTAAACTTATGTAATATAGTCTAACTGTCAAGATGTTTTATTTCTCAGAATTTTTTCTTACGGAATTTTTGCGTTTAAACATGTTTTAAATTGGACCATGGTCTGAAGCATCTAAACATCAGTGATATAATTATAAACAACTTTGACATTTTGAAATCTACTGGTTCTCTTTCAAGCTGTCTCTAAAACTGTAAAATTTTAAAGTAAGCAAAGATATACTTCAGTATTTTTCTGTTAACATTTAAAGATTTGAAGAAAACATGTCTGAGATTCACCACTTAGCAGAGGAATCTGTTATAATGCATGTTTCTGTCATTAAACTAAATTAGTATTTCTTACTACTGCTTTGAAAGGCAGAAATAAGTATTACTGCAATTAATCTATAAAGTAGTGAGATTTTATCATCTACTAAATGAGGATATATTACTGATACAGCTTATCAGCAAATGTGTTAGCTATTCGTGTTCCAAATCTATTTAACTTCAGCTATTGAGTTTTATGAAAAAAAAAGGAAAAATTATATTACACAATCTCTGAGAACCTGCATTTTAAACAGTAAAATAAAACTTAATGAAACTTTTCAGAAAAATATCTTTCCCCATTTTTTAAGGTAAGACATGGATGTCTTCATTTAATTCTCTAGAGCTGCAGATACTTTGCGCTCCTGGAAACCTTACTTTTAGTGGATAGCCACATACATAAGTCTTTGTCTTCAGTTTTGGTCTTTCTGGTTGTAGTTTGATTGTTTTATAATTTCTCAGCAGTAGTAGAATCTCATAAGTGTTTAATCTGAGATGTACTAGCATTTCTCTTTGAATATGAATGAAAGTAAAATTTTAAGTCATGTTTTATCAGTCTTTTTTTGAACTATTAAGGTAAAATTACTTCTTTAGTTAAAGGAAATTAATTTTTTTTTTAATTACAATGCAAACTTTTTTTAGATGAAAAGATAGGTTCCAATCCACCTGAAGAAGCAACACAAACAGAAGAAATATTTTCTTCACCTGATCCAGAGAAGATCCAGTCACCTTTTACTCAAAAGTATCGGGCCTGTAAAGCAAACCTTCAGAGCACCAGCCGGCTTACTCTGTCTTCCAGAATGGTGTATAGTCAAGAGTTGAGTATGCCAGAAGGAGTAGAGATAATAAGCGTGAAGCCGTCAGCAGGTTTGTAATTTTTTTAAAAAAGGACTAAAATTAGGACTCTTTGGCTTTCTGACTTAAATCTTAAAATAGAAACAAAGTACTAGTGAGTTTGATATTTATGTTAAAATGCCCGTAGGTGGATCCAAGAGGTTTGCTAAAACCTGTTTCCCTAACTTTATGTCTCCATCCTGGAAATAATACAAAAATGAAGCTATTCTTTAAGGTATAATATTTACTGAATTTCACATTCTTGCAATAGAAGGAATTATACAAGCACAAATTTTGTTTTGCAGTCATTCATGAAATTTTTTCTAGGATCTGTAAATTTTAAGGCTTTCATCAGTAGTCTTTCAGAAATATATTTACATTTTTGAATGGAGGAATCTTTGATGGAAGAGATAATATATAGTAATATTAATGTTTAAATAATATACTTTTACTTTCCTCTGGAGAATGCAGTGGAATCAAAAGAAAAGGTAAAATGGTTTTGTGGTATTTGTCTCAGGCTGGACAGTATTTTTGTCACATTGTCTTCTTTGTGAGGCCCTGTAAACAATCTCTTCATGAGGAAGTAGTAATATTTTTTTAATTTCAGAATAATCCTAAAATGATAGCTACATAAAATCATCTCTAGTTTTGTGCTTGTTTTTTAGTATTTCCCACAGTGAAAGTGTATTTTATTTCATTTTAGGACATCTCAGTTCTTCTTCCATATATCCCGTTTGTCGTGCACCTTATCTGCTGGCTACTTCATGCTCTGATGGAAAAGTTCGATTCTGGAGATGCAGAGTTGTGACTGAATCATCAGCTTCTTCCATGCCGGAATATAGCACACTTGGTGATGTTAAATATGTATGGGAAGAATGGCCATTACTGATTGAGGATGGACTTCCTAGCAGTAGTGCTATTAGTGTTCCAGGAAGGCCAACTGAAGTCAGCTGTGCACACACCAACAGATTAGCAGTAGCATACAAGCAGGTAGCATCTAAAAATAGCCATCAAGATTTTGTAATGCATGTTAGTATTTTTGAATGTGAATCTACAGGGGGTTCTTCTTGGATTTTAGAACAGACTCTTAATTTAGATGAGGTGGGCACCATATTTGACTCTAGTGTTAGTATTGACAGCAATTTAGTGGCATATAACCAGCAGGACACTTCTCTGTCTCATGGTGGGAGTATTACACTCAGCACCAAGCACTTGGTACACTTAGACTGGATGTCTAGGGAAGATGGTTCGCATATCCTGACAGTGGGAATTGGATCAAAACTCTATATGTTTGGTCAGCTCTCTGGGAAGAGGCAAGAACAAAATGGTAATGAGATTGTAGCAATCTCCCATAGTGGCAGCACTAAGGGTACAACAACCCTTTCTGGATTTGTTTTGCTGCGTTGTGTTGATTTGGTTTCATCTGTAGAAGGATCACCTCCTTTTCCCGTCTCCTTGTCTTGGGTGCGCGATGGCATTCTTGTAGTTGGAATGGATTGTGAAATGCATGTTTACTCCCAGTGGCAATCTCCTGCCAAGCAGGAACTAGTTAGTACAGATTCCTACAGTGGAAGTATGTCATGTATAACGAGCGTAATTAAACAAAGCCAGTCAGCCGCCTCAGGTCTGCATCCACCAAAGAGAACCTTGACCAGATCTATGACCAGCCTTGCACAGAAACTTAGTGGGAAAAGGTCTGCCTGTGATCTCTCAGTGGAAATGGAAGATTCTGGTCTTTTTGAAGCAGCTCATACATTATCTCCAACTTTACCTCAGTACCATCCATATCAACTGCTGGAACTCATGGATCTTGGTAAAGTACGCAGAGCAAAAGCCATTCTGTCCCATTTGGTGAAGTGCATTGCTGGAGAAGTTGTTGCTATAAATGAATCTGAGCCTAATCATGATAAGAGGCTCAGATCTCTGACCATCAGTGCCAGTGGAAGTACTGCAAGAGATCCCAAAACGTTCAGCAAGGCGGAGACTACAGACTATATTGAAATAGATTCTGTTCCGCCATTGCCTTTGTATGCCCTGCTTGCTGCAGATGATGATTCATCTTATTCCTGTTCAGAGAAGACTAGTAATCAAAATAGTCAAAATAAAAAAGATACACCCAATGACAATTATGAAAATCTCTTTCAAAATCCTGTTATAAGTACAGATGATCTTGTTACATTTGATGCAGATGAAGAGAGTGTGAAACCGAAAGTCATTGATCTTTCTCAGTATAACCCAGCTTACTTTGGACCAGAACATGCTCAAGTTCTTTCTCGTCACTTGCTTCATTCAAGCTTGCCAGGTCTGACTAGGATGGAGCAAATGTCGTTGCTTGCCTTGGCAGATACAATTGCTACTACCAGTACTGACATTGGAGAAAGCAGAGACAGAAGTCAAGGTAAGGGGTCTCTTCCAAGTTAAATGTACTACTGTGCTGCATAACCCTTTTGCAGAGTTTTTTCCTATTTTGGTATATTTTTATGGCTTACAGTTTTATTTCATAGTATAACCTGTGTTATTTTTAATTCACTTTTGAAGGGACAACTTTCATAATGACAAATATTTGTTGGACTGTGTAGAGAAATCGAGAAATAAACTTTGTGAGCGTTTTTTTTATATGATAACACTTTTTCTGTTTCGTCCGTTAAAGAGAACAAATAGCTTCAAAACTTTTTATATTTGAAATTTTCTTCTCTCCCTTCTCTTGAAGGGAAGAATTGTGAATTAAGTTATTATGTTTACAAATCTAAAGTTAGTAGTCACAAAATGTTATTTCTTCTTTTAGGAAACACAATAGTTACTTTGAGTAGTTTCACTGAAGTCTATGTAAAAATATTTATTTCCAGGTGGAGAAACTCTTGATGAGTGTGGTTTAAAGTTTTTATTGGCTGTTCGGCTTCACACATTTCTGACAACTGCACTTCCTCCTGTACATCGAGCTCAGCTACTTCGTCAAGGTAACTGATGTGTTTTGTTAGATGAGTTGGGTTTTGGTGATGTACATATGACTGGTGTGCTGTTGAGCTGCCTTCACAGAATCAATGGGTTAATTTGTTGGGTTTAAAAAAAAAAAAAAAAGTCCACTATGAATAAATGCCAAACCAGAAAACATCTGTTTTATTTTTGGTCTTGGAACTGAAGTGATTTCTTTTCTAACAAGTTTTTAATTTTGTTTCCTTTTTCTTCCTCCTCAAATGAACTGGCTTTTCTGTACTTCTAGTATCATATCATTCCGATAGCCTTCTGCAGGAATAAACAGTAGAAAGTAGTACGTATTTACTTAGGTTTTTAGTGCCTATTGGGAAGGGTATTTTGCAGACTGCTCGGACTTAAAATATTTCTGTATGCTTACTGTAATTACAGAGTGAGCTATTTCAAATATGCGTTTTTTTGTGTGATTTAACTGTTTTCATCCTGGCATTGCAGGCAATGGAACAAGGTGGATTTCATTAGTCATAATCAAATCTGAAGAACTGACTGTAATTACTCTTTTAGCCACCATGACAATTAATGGCATTTTCAGTCTCATGGCCTGTCACCCTTCAGCAGAACCAGAGACTGGCATTTGGCCAGGATATCAGAGCAGAGCACTGCAGAGTTAGCTCTTTGATGAACTAATATTAGTTGAGATACTTCTGCTCAGAAACTCGTGAGAGTGAGAAGTGCCTCCAGGGCACATGCAAAAGTGCAGTTCAGTGTGCCTCTCTACAAAGAAGTGTCTGGCTGTCACTAGAGTTACAATTATTCATAACTGGCTATGTTGCTGCTTAATAATTGCTGTCTTCCTCATGATATTTTTTTATTTCAAGTTTTCTTTTGTATCTCTGTCCTCAAATGTGTTTTCTGCTCTGATTATGTGAAACTTGGCATTTTCAATTCCAAGTCAAAGTAGTGAACTTACCTTTCAAAACTTTGAAATATTTAATCATTACATTGCACTGACTATTGTGGCTAATCTTAATGCCACCATTATCCATATATTTGAGGTTCAACAGCGCAGTTCTTCGCAGATGAAAAGAGTTGGCAGATGAAAAATTGTTTTCACCTGTATGATCTTTTTTTATTATTAGATATGCAGTGCTAACAAATGTTCTTATGTTTCTCATCTCATCAGTAATGCACTTATAAATGCAAAATAAAGAGTTTGATTTTTCTTTGCTTTTCCCTTTCCCATTCCCTTGACTTCAGATTCTGAAATATATTATTAATGAATGTCTCTTAAATTTATTTTTTTTAATGTGTTATTATGCAGGGTTATCTACTAGTCACTTTGCCTGGGCGTTTCATTCAGTAGCGGAAGAAGAACTGCTGAGTATGCTCCCTGCAGTGCAGAAGGGAGATCCAACATGGTCAGAGCTCAGAGCTATGGGGATAGGATGGTGGGTTCGAAATATCCACAGCCTGCGAAAATGCATAGAAAAGGTAAACATAACATTCTGAAAAAAAAATTACCAAACTCTTTTCAAACAGCTGTCCTCTGGTGTTTATCTTCTGTTTATGGGTTTTAAAGTTTTACATATATCAAGTGTTTCTGAATGTTTCATGCTGTATTTTTTGTATGTATAGTTTGTTGTATAAGTATGAACTTTGGTATTCAGATTTTTTTTTTTTTTTTAGTACTGCAGATTTCAAATTCCACTGTGAGATACATTTTTTGCTTTTAGATATTCCATTTTGGAGGTGGTAATGTGCAGTGCTTATTGTGGATGCTCAAGATACAGATGGAGCATATAGTTGTTTTTAATAGCAAGATAGAGAAACAAGTTATGGAAAGAGGTTCTCCTTAGAAAGCTATCAGAAGTGGGAACAACTTAGGTATTGTACATGTGTCTTGCAAATTGATTAATTTTTGAGATAAACAAACCTATTTTATTTTGGCTTGTGGGGTTTTCTGTGTGTTTGTTTGGGGTTTTGTTGGTTTTCTTTGTATTGAATACTTTAACCATCACAGATATGGCAGTAAGCCTAACCTCGTTATCACTTGTTTTAAGCTCTTGGAAAAGCCAAGTGTGTTGAGCTAGAAAATGACATGCACAAGATACTTTGACTACAAAGCACGAAGTGGTAAAATGCATGTCTCTACTTTTACTTTTCAATCTTCAGTAATTAATCTTCACTTTATAAAACTTAACTGCCTTGCATTAAAAAAATTCCAGGTGTTCTGGGCCTGAGTTTCAGGTTATCTTACATAGGTCTTTGACTATTCTTGCTGCCACTTACCCCTTTTTCCTTTCCAACCTTCAAAAGTAATCTCCTGTAAACAATTTTTCTCCTGTTGTGACTGGTCCCAGCCTGTTTTTCAAGACTCCATGTGTCCTTTGATTACCAGAGCAACTAATAAATTAATTTTGCTGTGATTTCAGGAACTGATTTCAGATACAGGGATTCCCATCTGATCTTCCAAAAATCTTCTAGAACTGGAAGAGCATTAGCTAAATGATATGAAAGGGGCTTTTGTATCTTCACATTTGCATCAGACTCATAATGACAGGAGGGATCCTATATTAAAGAGTACTTCCAAACACTAGGGGGTATGGGATACCAGAAGCAACAAGAATCTCATTTCAGACTCATTGAAATTTTGGTTGTTTTTTTTGCTGTTGAACTGTCTTCACAGGTGGCTAAAGCAGCCTTTCAGCGAAACAATGACCCACTTGATGCAGCCATTTTTTACCTTGCAATGAAGAAGAAGGCTGTTATCTGGGGATTATACAGGTAGAAAACATTAAAGCTCTTACGTGGAGTTTCACGTTGTCTGGTATAATTTTGGGAAAAAGGTGGAATGTGATGGTAATCCAAAAAACGACAAATATTACCATTGAAAGCTGAGATTTGTTTCCTAAATTAGTCATTACATAGAATGAGTAATTTCTGAGCTTCTTATATTTACTGAAGTAATTTAGTCGCTATTTCTGAAGGTAGATGCTTCAAGTTTTAGTCTCAAAGCTACTGTAGTTTCAGCTAGTGCTTAATTCTGGTTTACTTTTGAGGATTAGCAGTGTACTGTAATATATAATATGATATAGAATGATACATCTGTCTTTTGGAAGAGTGTTTGTTGTTATAAATTGTACCTTTAAGTTCAGGGGACTGAATTACACCTGTCCTTGAAACTGATGTTTCGTAATACACCATTCAATGTTGCAAACTTCTTGTAAAGTAGTTTGCATCGTCACATACTCTTAAAAGCTCACCTGGGAGAAATGAGATTTTCTGTATTTGTATCAGGTTAATTGAAAATACTGTTAGGTTTTGTATTCACTAACTTTTGTTATTTTTAAATATGAAGCCTTCTCCACTCCTGGTGTAGTGACACTGCATTTCCTATTGTAAAGATCTGTGTAAAATTATACTGGCATCTGAGGAAGTCAAGAACCACGATGCATCTAATAAAATGTATCATATTTTTATCAATTATGTTCAATATGCAGGTCCCAAAAAGATACTAAAATGACACAGTTTTTTGGAAACAACTTTACTGAGGACAGATGGCGTAAAGCAGCATTAAAAAATGCTTTTTCTCTGCTTGGCAAACAGCGTTTTGAACATTCTGCAGCATTTTTCTTGTTAGCAGGACACTTAAAAGATGCAGTGGAGGTAATAAAATAAACTACTTTTTTATGTTTAAGACTATTATATTGTCCCAAGTGTACAAATATACTGAATGTGATTTGCATTTTGCATTATTAGTATGGCCCCTGAAGTTTCTGATGCTTCTGCTTTGTGCTCGTCTTTCTCACCCTCCATCCCCCAAATTAATGCCAAACACAAAACATTGATCTTTGCATTTTGATTCTTTTTTAGCTGTTGTATTAATGGTACTAAAAAGTCACATAGCTAATTAATTTCTCTGTTAGTAATATTAAGGGCCTATCTGCCATTAGGGGCATTACCTACCCTTATCTTACTTTCAGATTGTCTGCCTAGTCCTATATGAAGACAGCAGAGTTTTCATTAGGAGATTCCAGACCTGGCATTTTGGCAGTGATGTGTATTAGCTCCTAAAGTCCCTTCTCCAAAGAAACAAACAAAAAAGTATTGCTGGGGTCTGTTTGAATTGACAAGTTGTGAGGAAATTCATCTCTGATAATGAAGGATTTGTCCTCTTGAAGCCAATCAATTTCAAAGATCTGTTGTCATGTCATTTAAACTGAAGAAATGCATATCAGATCTTGCATGTAATAGTTGGTTACACCTATTCTGCATAGTACCTGCTCATTTTTATGGGGTTGATAGAATTACTTATTTTAATCTGAGCAGATTCATGTCAATTTCTGCCTTGTGATCATTTTCAACAGAGGAGAAATTATGAAATTTGATCTCTTGAATATATTTATTTTCAATTAGGTCTGCCTTGAAAAACTGCACGACATTCAATTGGCTCTTGTAATATCAAGACTTTACGAATCGGAGTTTGAAGTCTCTAGTACTTACAAATCTGTACTACAGAAAAGAGTTTTGGGTGTGTTTACTGGAAAAGAGAGCTCAGGAAACATACACTGTGACCCTTTTCTGCGAAGTATGGCATACTGGATTTTGGAAGATTATAGCAAGGCTCTTGACACTTTGATAAAACATTCTGTTGAAGATAAAGGAGGTAAAAATTTAAGTATTTTGCCTGTTAGATTGGTTTTAACTATTTATTCCATTAAGCCGCAGTTTCTTGAAGTATCATCTGAACAAAACCAGGTACCACACAGTTCTTCACAGTGTTAGTAAATAACTTGCTGTAGCAGTGTATGTGGATTTTAATAACAGATGTGGTGACTGTGTTGTCCTTATCCTGTATCCATGAATAGATACTTTGTTCTTTAAGCATATGAATATCAGAGTAATGGGATGATCCTACAGTGATGCAGCTGTTTTAAAGCAGCAGTTTAAAGATGAAGAGAGAAATTTGCTTCATTAGTTAATTTGACTCCATCACGGACTAAAAAGAAATTTCTGATGGCACAGTTACGTAGGAGAGTCTGGAAGACAGAGTGTTTTTCAGCTTTTAGTCCTTGAAAAAATGGTTGACGACATAAACTGCCAACAGGAAGATTTTGATATTTACGATGATACAAGGAGGTCTACATGGTTCCTGAAATAGCATATAGGTCTCCTAGAGCAATTAATTTCTATGTTCACTTGCTAATTTTATAAGCTTCTAAGAATCAATTGTGTTATTTCCTAAAGTTAGTGTTGTCAAGGAAGTTGAATGTTTCAAGTTCCTAGTAGTTACTGTGCTAGCTAGTTTCAGTCCTGGCTTCTGAGAGAAATTTGAGAGTAACAAATGAAGGCTCAAATACTTATAGTTGTGTAATTACTTTTAAAAACTTATTTCAGTAGAAGTTACATGCCTTAGTATAACTTTGGGTAAATGAGGAGTGTGGTGTTTGGTTGTTTCGATCTTGGTCACATCTTTCTGTCTAAAGTAATTTTAAAATGTTACTGATTTTTCTGTGGTCAGTTCAGTGGCTTGTTTGTGGTGTCTCGCTTTATTTTCTTACTTCAAAGGTGCCCTTTCATTTACCTCTTATCTGTCACTAGCTGTGCTCTAACTCCTGGTAAAGGAGAAAGTAAGGGTCTATCTCAGCTAACCTAGACCCTTTGAAAGCTGAGTGACTCATCCTGTGTTGGTGCTCATATCTTTCCAGGGTTTTTCTTGTTGTAGACATGAAAATAAAGTGCATAGGTGTTGCACTGCTGTGTAATTTGTTTATTTGTATGTAATACTGCTACCATTAAATGTTACAGATTTGCTAGTTTTTGTTTGGGGTTTTTTTAAGATGTAGACAAAATAAAAAAAAAAACTAATCCAAGGTTTTAAAAAAAACCTTTAAATAGAAATTTTTAGTAAAATGTAACTAACATCTTATTGTCGTGTAGAGGTAGATACTTTCGAACTCTAAACTAAACAGAAAAGTGGTCTTGTTAGACTTCAGCAAAACAGTCCTTGCTACAAGGAAAAGAAGTGGCATCTGTTCTAATTTAAAAGGTCTTACTTGCTGTCCCACTCAGACTTCTTGAATTATAAAGGTGCAAAGGAAGGTGAACAGGGGGGGATGCAGTGAAGTAAACAGTAGAATGAATATATGAACTAGGCAGTAGAATTAATATTAAGACCTAATAGCTTTCTGATGAACTCAAGACTTTGCAGATTGATCTTTCTTACAGAATGATAGATTTTCCTCATGCTGCAATCTCTTTTCAGGTGAAGGAGATGGTTCATCAACTTGTAACCCTGCAGTGTTTAACTTCTATAACTACTTAAGAACACATCCACTTTTGTTGAGACGTCATTTTGGCTCTTCTTATACATCTTCCACACACATTTGCTTAACAGTAGAAAATGGATTAGCTGACAAAATCAATCTAGGTGAAAGACGACTGTTCTTTACCACTGCATATGCTCATTTGAAAGCTGGTTGTCCTATGTTGGCCTTAGAAGTGTTATCAAAGATGCCCAAAGTTGTCAAGAGGTCAAAGCCATTCTGTAAATCCCCTAGTTTAATGGATACCAGTAAAGATTTCTCACCATCTTCTCCAGTTAAAGAGTTTGAAACAAAAGACCAAGCTTCCAGTATTGATTGGTCGCAACCAGTATGGAATGGTCTAGGTTCATCTTCAGATTGTTCATCAGAAAAGCATTCAAGTTCAACTCTTTCCTTTGACTGGAGTCAGCCAAGTGTGGTGTTCCAAGATGAGCCCTTGCAACTACAGACAGACAGTGATGAAAATGATGAGAGTGAAGATTCTTCCCCAGTCATGAGAGAGCTAAGACCTCTGAAGAAAACTGAAAAATTATATGAAACAAGTTCTAGCTACACGGAATCTTTTAGTGTAGTTGATGACAAAAATGTTCTCAGTCCATCAGAAGATATCATTTCAGCACAGCTGAAGTTTAGAGCATGCCTGAAAATTCTTACTGTAGAGCTTCGTACACTGTCCACTGGTTATGAGGTAGATGGTGGGAAGTTGCGGTATCAGCTTTATCAGTGGCTTGAGAGAGAAGTGGTAGCTCTTCAGAAGACCTGTGATTATAATGTTGAAGTAGAAGAGATACAGTCAGGAATTGGAGTGATGCCAGAGGAACCTACATTACATGAAAACACTGAAGACGCAGCTGACCAGCAAAAAAGTATGCTACAGAGAGAAGACTTTCAGAAGAGACGTCAGTGGCTTCTGAAGTACCAGTCCCTGCTAAGAATGTTTCTTAGTTACTGTATACTTCATGGCTCACATGGTGGAGGCTTGGCATCTGTCAGAATGGAATTAATTCTGCTATTGCAAGAATCTCAGCAGGTATGTGGAGGAGCTTAGTTTGTGTTTTCAATGCTTCAGGTTTGTAGGTTTATTTGAATGTGGTTTATATTATTGTTGAAGTTTTCCTACTATAGCATGCACCTGTTTTATAACAAATGTAAATCTGTTATGTTGAGAACAGATTGTTTTCTGTAGGTGTTTCCTGTTGTTATTACTGTTATTTAGAATCCTTCTCCTCTTTCAAAAATTCTAATGTTCCATTTAAGAATATGTACTATCACTTTGTGTTTCTTGCCTGTTTTTAGGAGCAGTCAGTACAGATGCCTTCCAGGCCTCCACCAGAGCAAAGTTCCATACCTCTCCTGTTTGCTTGCACAGCTAGTGCCAAAACAGTGGTGGCTAACCCATTGCTACATCTTGGTAATTTAACTCATGATATATTACATGCCATAATAAACCTTGATTCGCCACCTCATCCAGATACTCAGAACAACAAGGTATGTATTTTTTATACATGTTTTGTTGTCATTGTCTAATTTGCTAATCATGATTTTTTTTCTAACAGCTTGAAAACTTTCTGCTGTGCCTTCTTTGACAAATAATAAAACTGCGAAACATAATTATTTTCTCTAGTAATTATCTTGAGCTAAAGAAATTTATGATTTATAAAGGTGCTGAGCATCTGGTTACACAAGCTGAAGAAGATTAGCCTCTCAGAACTGGATGCTTGTCCAAGATGACACCTGTTCTGGAAAACATGTTGTACTACACTATCAGCATCATATTTGTTTTATAATATAATTGTAGTTATAATGATTATATTTGTCAATATGATCATTACTTCTGGTAACTCTGCATTTCATTCCTAGACTGAAGTAAAACAAAGGTTTGAAGTATAAAAACTTAGTGGCAAAGTGCAGTAAATTTTTTTGTGAAACTCTATGTACATATAGTAAATATGATAATTTTTTTAAAATTATATTTCTCTAAGGTTTGTTCTGTCTTTAACTTTTGACTGGAGGTGCAACCTAAAGTGTTAGTTTAAGAGAACCCTTTTGAGCAGCAGATTCTAGTGTTTTATCTGAGTGTGGTTTGTGATACCTTAAGTAAAGTATCAGCTATGTTAAAATTACTGATCAGTGTGATACTGAGTAAATTGCATGTGTACAGGAGTTGTGCAAGAATCAAAAGCTAAACTGCATTATTGTTTCATTCTGAAGCAAAGCCTTGGTATTCTGAGCCAGCATATTGCTACTGTCTTAGGATGTAATTACTTAGGACTGTTGTGTAGAGATTTAATACATTGCTGTTTGTTAATTGAAAATATTTCAGCTGCAGCTGAGCTTTGATATGGGTTGGGGGTGTAAGTGAATACTTTCCCCATCCTTTTCATTACAAAGTGAACTGACTTATATGAAAGAAATTCTGACGAGAAACATGTCTTTTTAAGTGTGTGTTTGTATCTTCCATATTCAGTGCTTGTTTTGCTATACAAATCTGTATGCATGAAAGGCTACCATAGTTACCACTGCTCATTCTGAGCGTAATATGTTCTATGAAACTTTGTCTTACAGATATATGTCATGCACACCTTAGCAGCGTCACTCTCCGCTTGCATCTACCAATGTCTTTGTGATGGCCACAGCTACAGGTAAATGTGTAGGAAAAGTGCTTTTTAGAGAACTATTAATACACTGTCTCATTGCAGTGATCATAGTTGGTTGTGCATCAGAAGGCAGTGCTCACACTTACCTGTGTCTAGAAAGAACTTTGAATAGCTGTAACCATAATATTTTTGTGTAAATATAATTTCTCACTTTTGTGTTTCACAGCTCATTTCAAGCAAATCAGTTCACTGGAACAGTGTATCAGACAGTGCTGTTAACTCGGCGCCACTCTTTAAGAACAGCAAGCTTAGAAGAAACAGTGACTCCCAATACATCACCTGCTCAGTGGCCAGGTATCTGGAGTTGGTTTATTTCTTCCCTCTTAAGGAAAACTGAGTTATTGGTATCCACCCTAAGAGCATGTAGCTATGCTCTGGACTTTCTAGTACTATTTGTAGCAACTATGTATGGTAAAGTCAAGTTCTTTGATTAAAATTTTGTTTGGTTTTTTTTTCCCAAACCTCCAAGTTAGTACTTTTGGTTATTCATTATTTTGGTTATTCACTAAGTCAAGTTGGTTTATATTGCTTCCTCTTGCTAAAAATGTTAGTGGGGGCTCTAGTAAAGGGCAAGTAAATGGGAAGTTAGGTGAAGTCATGTCCTGTGTTTTACTTGCTCCTCCTGGAGGCAACAGATCAGTCGCAGCAGTGTTGTAGTTCCTTACTCCTGAAAAGCTGTCTTAGTTTGTGCTTCAGCTCAGACTTTTGAACTAATTAACACTATTGAAAATGAGAAGTTTAGAATAAATTAGGATTTTCTGTAGTCCTAAAATCAGTGTTGGTTTTCAGGTACTTCCTGAAGTATGCTAGTGAAGCTATACTAGGAAGCTACATTAGAGGGAGTGTTAGCACTAATATACATGCATATACACACACACATATATGTATTTATAAAAATATGAGCGTCAGTTTACAGCTATAACTTAAATGTAAGTTTAACCAAGAAATATAGTTCCTTATTATGGGATTTGTTTTTTAAATAAGAAAATTTCACACTGAAAATGTTTTTGGTGAGCCTCAAGCAGTCTTTGTGTTTGATGCTATGCCATTTTTTCTTTTCTGCAGAACGTTCTGACACTAAATCTAGAATTCTAGAGAGAAATCAGATTGTCATCTGTTTTCTCTTTGTTTCATTAGTTGCACAGTTAAATTTCTAATGAATGGAACACGGACTTTGTTGCTGTTTTTCTTATAAATAACATTACCTTGAACTAATTTCTCTATTTTTTAATAGTTTAACGTGTTCTATGAGCAAATTGGAGAGGATGACACAAAAGCAGAATTATTTGGCCACCACTATTTGCACTTTCACTTATGTGCACAAAGTGTAACAGTTGAAGCCACATCTGAAACGACACCTTTTTGTGGGAGCATCAAAACACAAGATATTCAGTACTTGAGTGAAGAAACACTTGTCAGACAGGATGTAGTTCAAGTTGATGCCCATGATTTTTGATTGGTTGTACCCCTGTAAAGTGAGAAGACAACATTTCAACTTATAGTGGTTCCTGTAGTTACAATAATTGAAAAATTGTTATGCATTTTAACAATGAATTGTTAAAAATAAAAAGCATACCTCTTCTTGAGTTTTCAGTTTCGTTTAAAACTTGGAATCTTTTTACTCTACAAATTACTGAATAACATAGGTTGCCAGTCAAAATACCCTTAATAATCTGGAGTATATTCACAAAAAAAATATGCGCTCTCTTAAAGAATTTATGTATTTTATGTAAACAGGAATGACAGCTCTAATACGCCTCCTGAATTCTGCTGGTGAGGAAGCCCAGCCAGGTCTCACAGTTTTACTTTGTGAAATTTTAACTGCGGTCTATCTAAGTCTGTTCATCCATGGCCTTGCAACACATTCTAGCGATGAGTTGTATAGAATTATAGCTCATCCACTTAATGACAAAATGTGGTCTGCTGTCTTTGGAGGAGGAGCTCATACACCCGGCAAAGGACAACAGCAATTAAAGACAAAAACTGGTTAGTTCTCTTGTTTTACTTATATTTGTCTTCTGGGGATTTTAAGAAAATTATGTAACTGCTGAAAACTTAGGAGTAGATGTTTTCAGAAGTTTGTGTTTAGTAAGAATTCAGTGTGTTTTTAGGTCTGCACAGAAAAACAAGGATTTAAAATTATTGTTATAGATATTGGGTAGAAGGAGTGAGCAGAAGTGAATGCTACTTGGAAAATAAACTTTCCAAGTAGCACAGCTGCTGTAATGTGAGGGAGTTAAGTTGATCTTAAAGAGAAAGTTGCCAGTACTATTACAGCCAATTTTTTTAATGTTAATTTTAAAGCTTTCCAGTTCTCTTGTAACAGGTATATATTCCCATTTTACAAATACAGTATGTTTTCTCTCTTTGACAGGTAGGCACTTCCCAATGCCTAGCCCACATCAGGTAGTAGTGTTCTCCATGGAATGCGTGGGGTTTTCCAAATCCCTTACCTCCTTCAGTACTCATAGTCCTACCAAATCTTCAGGCAAGATACTAGATTTAGTACTAGGCCTCTACATGCAGTTTGCTATGCGTGGCGTTTTTTTGCATATGCAGAAAGACAGAAAACCTTCTGTTTGCAAGCCATGACATCAAAATTTAAAGTTTTGTAATTAAAGCAGCAGTTGAATTGGGCCTTTTTTAAAAAGAAAATTGTCAGTGCTGTTGTAGTCTCATTACTAATTCTTCATTTGAAATTAATATTAATATAAAATTACTTTGACCATGGTTTGAAAGGATCAGAAGTGTTTGATATCTTTGTTGGAGAGCTGCTTGTTTTGCTTTTTAAATATAAGCGTTATTATGCATGTGGATTTCTAAGTGTTCATTCTAGACATTACAAATGTAAGGTGTCTTGTTGATATTCAAATTTGATATTCTGAGAACCCTTTAGGAAAGTAAACGTTCTTGAAGTTTTAAAGTCAGATGATGGTAAATTATCCTGAGGTCCAGAATTAATTCCTGTAACACTTTTCTTTCCGGTATGGTTTTTTGCATTTTAATTTAGTACTATAAAACCAAGAGCAAAAATACTGCAGATTGTATAATTTTTTTTAAGGAGGGTTTTGTAAAGATAAATTTACTTGTTGGCTTTGTACGTCACATCTAAACATGTATGTAGAGAGATAAAATATAAGTTTATATAACTTTTGTTATTATTGATATTACATGTATGTTACATATAAAAATGTCTAACCTTGTGTTTAAGGAAAACTGTAAATGTGATCTGTTTAAATACCATCTTTATCAGACATTTGGGAAAGTATTTTCAGAGCAGAGATCTTTAATCAAAAAGGAGCTCTTATTCTAGATCTGATCAGTTTTATCTGTAGTATTGAATAAGTATTTCTCAGTATTACTGTGGTAAGGTAAATATATTTGCCATTACAGAATTGTTAGAAGCCATAATTGGCTTTTGCTAGCAATTCTGTTTCTTAGATGTTGCTAACTGTATACTAAGGTGTGTTAATGCTGCTGCTACCACAGTTTAAAATAATAAATATTTTTACGTAGAAGTGTATTCTGAAACGTATACTAAATGCCTGTCTGCTGTGTTTTTCTTAAAAATGAATACTGACTGTCTGATGGCAGATTTAGTAGAAATGTTGCTGCAGGAATCAAGAAGCTCAAGCTGAAAGTTTCAGGGAGGAAGGGACCTCTTGAAATACTAGTTTCTAGGGATAATCAAACACTGAAAAAAAGGTCTAGAGGGATTGTGAAGTCTCTGTCTTTGGAGTTACTCAAAAGCATGAACAAATGCCATCAATTCTGTTCTGAGCAAAGGGGCTGGACCAGGCATCTTCCAAACTATGTAATTCTAGGATTCTGTAGGTTATTATTTGTTTTTATGTGTTTACGTAGAGCAAATCTGGAGGAAAGAATTTTTTGAGAAATACATTTCTCTGTCACTTAATTTTAAAATAGTAGACCCCCAGAAACAGACCCCCAGTGAAGCAGAGCAGAAGGATTCAAATCAGCTATATTTTTGTGCTTTTACTGTCATCTCTTAATTTTAATTCTGACATCCAGAAAATAATCCTGATAAGTGACTGGAATGCTTATTCCAGTCAACTATGGCATGTTCTTGCATAGTAGTATTTAGATGGTTTTGTAGCTCCCCATTTTGTTATGCATAACTAGACTCTTTTTTTTTACATTTATTTTTAGATTTTTGTGAAATGTTTTAAATGGAAATTAAAAGACAAAAATTCTTGACACTAAAAATTCTAATCCAATAATATAAGTCCTGCATGTCTTACCTCCCTTCCAATCCTTTAGTATATATCTGAATAGGATGTTGACCTCCAAGTTTCAAATGTGTTTTAAGAGATCATGATACTATGTACAGTACTGGCCAATGTGATTTCCCTTTCTGCTCTTTGCTTTAGTGGACTTGAGCATGTAATAGCTTTGGATATAAAATTTCTCTTCAACACAAATTGGAAAACAGGAATCAAAAACTTGTACCTGGTAGTCTTATAAAATATTAACATCTGTTAGGAATTAATTTCCTTGAAAAACTTGTTTTATTGCCTCTGTCAAGTAAAGATCAGAGTCTTCACAAACCATTATTCCAGTCCTTCTAGAAAACAGATTGTCATTAGAAATCTAACAAATATCTGACTTAGAGTAGCAGGTCATGTAAGTCAAGTTTTTCTTGGGTAATTGTAAAGAAAGAAAAAAACCCAAACAAACAAAGAGCGCCCAGCAAAACAAAACACCCCACTCCTTAGAACTCTTGCATTTATCTGCTTGCTATACTTACTGTGAGGTAGGTTTCATCACAAATCTAAAACAAAGCAACAAAAACTGAACTTGCATTAGGAGTGCTTCAGACTAGGTCAAGCAGTGCTGTGTTTCTGCACTCAGGTTCACCAGCAAGTCAGAAATAGTAAAAAACCTTAACATTTAGACATTATCTTCAGGAGTTGCTTAATATCAGATCAGATGAAAGAATACAGATTCCTCAAGTTTTAAAACCCTCCAACTTATGTAAGTTAACAGCCATGTCAAACTGCCCCTTTTTAATGCAGATGCTGTTAGTAATGAAATTTTTGACATCAACATGAGATTAATTGCCTTGAATTCCAGAATTAGAAATGGTAATGTTTTGTGTTTTGTTTTTTTTTTTCCCTTATGGTGCTTTGAAGTACTGAGTACTTCATTAATGGTGTGGTCTTTCAAGTGTATATTTAAGTCTTTGATTTCTCACTATTACTGTCTTATTCTTGGCTAAGTCAGCTTTTAAAACAAATTAGAAGTTTGACTCGAAGTATATGCTGTGTGAATAGTTGAGTCTCTTTAGCTCAGTAGAAATAGTCTTGGATGGTCAGGAAACATCTTGGAGGGCAGAAAATGTCAAGAATGTTTGTGTATGAAACCAAGTATTTTGTTGTAATCTAATTTTTCAAGAGATTTTCTTTCACAATTTATAGAAATGCCCACAACAACAACAACAACAACAATAATTGTTATTGTTACTACTACTAATAATACTATCTGAGAATGTAATATATACCTTGCTTTAAGCTTTTTAGTGAATCACCCAACTGCATCTTAGGGAACTTAATTGCAGTTGCTCCTGTTGATTGGAAATTCATTAAATTCATCACCATGGCCACACGAGCTGTAGCCTGTGTGTAATCAGAATATCATGTTGAAAGCTTCAGGGTTTGTCATCTTAAAGAATGCAAATTCTTTGTATGTTTGAAGTCGAAATGTGCAGCAGTGTGGAATTTCACCAGGCTGCTACTCTAGTTCGCTTTTACAACTTCCCAAAGAATTACTGAAATCTGTGCAGAGCTTTAGACTTACTAGAATGATTCAAGGTGTGATTCAAAATTAGTATTTCTTTGTAATGTCTTTGTCATTATACTCTGGTTCTGGCCTTCAGCAGTGCTGGTACTTGTTGATGTCTGCAGTCAAGGAGGATGCTTTTGTAAGGGGAGGGCTTCATAATTTCACATACCTTCATCAAGGCTTGTGTTTTTCATAGGGTGTTGGGCTGTTGATGCTTCATGCATGCACACAGTCATCAGTAAAAATACAGTAACTCTGACTTGCATTTTAGTATTTAAGGAAGTTGAACCTTTTAGCTCTCTTCCTGGGAAAGGAGTGAGGCAACAGATCTTTTGATTATCATTGCATGTATTAGAACTTGGCAAAAATTAAAGGATTTTCCTGGTCTGAAATAGTCCAGTCTTCTTGGGAAATAACATAAATTTTACATTTGTCTTATAAATAAAATATGAGCAAAGATGAATGCTTAAATAAAAAAAAAAAAAAAAAGAAAGAAGGGGGTTTTAACTAGAAATATATGAGAAATTTGAAAGTGAATGTAATTGGTAATCTGGAATCCCAAATGAGAAATTGAGATTTTTTTTTAAAATGAATTTGTTAATGTATTTAATTTTTTTTAGAATGCATAAAAAGAAATTGGCATTTATAGTATGTATTTCACACCCCTTAGATGGTTGTACTTTCATTTGCCTTAAATACTGAATTTTTTCCAGTGGCTAGCAGTATTTTTAAATACAAAGAATGATTCAACGGAAGGAAATAAGTACTGTTTTAAAGTAAAATATTTGCTTTTTGAATTCTGCTTAGAAAAACAACCTGCAGACATATACTTGCTTATTTCTGCATCATGCAACACTTGCTCCTTATTTCATGCTAGTGAATTTCTTTTTTTTTTGAGCAGTTGCTACAAGTTCATAGTGATGCATGTGCATGCTCTTTCTTAACTGGTAAGCTTCAAATAATGAAATGAAAATGCATTGCATTTTACTGCAGTTACTGCATTTTTGACTTTTAGTACAGGTAAGTGGATTTCAAATAATATCCCTAACAGGATAAAAAAAAAAAAAAAAATTATGATACAGGATAGTAGTGCAACACAGACTGTTATGATATCCCTGTTTCAAGATGAAAGATGAGGTGTCTTCATCTTTTATTAGATTCTATACATAAATTACTTTGTAGCTGTCACGGTTTAACCTGAACCAGCCACCAAGCCCCACGCAGCTGCTCCCTCACTCCCCCACCAGCAGGATCAGGTAGAGAATTGGAAGGGTGACAGCGAGAAAACTCCTGGGTTGATATAGATGGTTTAATAGGGAAAGCAAAAGCTACACACACACTCAAAAACAAAACAAGGAATTAATTTGCTGCTTCCCATGGGCAGGCAGGTGTTCTGCCTCTCCAGGGGAGCAGGGCCCCATCACGTGTAACAGTAACTTGGGAAGACAAACACTATCACTCAAAGCATCCTCCCTTCCTCATTTTCCCCCCAGCTCTATATGATGAGTGTGATGTCATATGGTCTGGAATATCCCTTTGGTCAGTTCGGGTCACCTGTCCTGGCTGTGTCCCTTCCCAGCCTCCCATGCACCCCCAGCTTCCTCAACCTGCGTGGCAGTATGGAAAGCAGAAAAGACTTTGATTCAGTGTAAGCCCTGCTCAGCAATAACAGAAACATCTCTGTGTTATCAACCCTGTGTTCATCACGAATCGAAGACCCAGCCCCATAAGACCCACTGTGAAGAAAATTAGCTCTACCCTAGCCAAAACAAGCACAATAGTTCAGCTGCTTGTGATGGTAATGTTCATCTTCATACATGGTCAAAAATCTTTTTGAATCTCCTTGGAAGAACATGTTTTTTCTAGTCCAAAAATGAGAGCAGAAATTATGAAAAAAATCCATCACCTAGTGTGAATACAGAGAATTTGCCCATTTGAAAAAGCATAAAAAATTGTGAGGTATAAAAAAAAAGGGTTTTTTTTTAAACAATCCACTTAAATCTTATGTGACTTGGGGTTAGCAATTGTCTCAGTTTGTGTTAAGATCAAGGAAGTCTTATACGTGGAATATAACCGCTTGTAAATTCGTGCTGTTTTTCTTTTGTCCAGAGTGTTAGACCTTCTGTGTTCAAGTAATTGAAGTACCCATAAGAGTTTTGAAGGAAATAGTCTATCAAGAATCAGAAGTCTGCTGTGGATAAAACATATAAACAAAAAAATGAGGATATAGGAAATACTTCTTTGTAGTAGTTCACTCTAGGAATGCATAGGTGTGCTGGCTCTTTTTTTGCCATCCTGAGCATTATCAAGAGGAGAAAGTAATTTTGGAGGCTTTAGTGGTAGTTTTGAGGGTTGATTTTGAGCAGAAGGGAATAGAAAAATAAAATGATGAAGAATCTGTTTGCATTTGTGATGTTCATATTAGTTCATCCTTGCAAACAGTTTATCCCAACATGTTGATGCTTGAACTCAGTGATAGGAATATCCATTCTCCAGGGCAGCTCTTTTAAACTGCAGAGTTGCCTTCTTGGATCCTAACGATTACTGCTGCTAGGTCAGCCAAAGACTTGGATCATAAGACAACCCATATTCCCCTCTACTTAAGAAAAGTGACTCGATTAAATAGGTCTTGGAAATCTTAGGGATTCCAGAAGGAAGTTCAAAAAATCAACTTACTTTTTATCCTGATGTTTTAGCTTTCTGTGTTTTTACCTAAGTCTTGAATTCATTTATTTTTTCACTATAGAAACTAACCTCCATGCATTACATGTATCTACTTTAAATTAAAAAAAAAAACAACACACCTTTTACAATGAAGTAGGAAATTGATTCAAGTCCTTTTTGTCTGTTATGAAAGTGAGTGATGGCCAGCATGTTGTATCAAGTCTCCAAATAAAATTTCTTCTCTCTGTTGTCCCTTTGACTTCAGATGTGTTTTGGAGAGCTAACACACTTAATGTTCAGGGACAGTGACAATCACTATCATTCCTCCTCCACTAACAGAAAGGTTTTATTGGGATATTCACCTAACAAGATCCAGAATGATTTCAGGTTATCAGGACATACAACTGCATTAAGATACTCCTGAAAGCTTGGATAAAGTATTTCCTTGAGTAATGTAATGATCAAGAATGTAAGTCAGATAAATCTCCCACAGATACATCTTTTGTCTGAAAAAACTCAGTGTTGGGGCAAGTGAGAGGACGTTTCTACTCCTAGGACTTAAGGTGTTACTACAGATAATTAGTCCTTCCCTGTTAAATGAGGTATATGTCAGGTTGCATTAGTTAAAATGGGGTCTTTTATATTTACTGGAGAAATGCATTGTTGGGGCATAGGGATTGAGCAGAATTTTACCATTTAGAAAAAATACAGACCTCCACTACAACGAAACATGGAATTTAAACTTGAGTAGGAATGGCAAGCTTACATATTTGCAATATATATTCTGAAAGACAAGACTTTAGGCTTGTCTTCAAGCATTATCAGTGTGCAGTAGTTCTTATTAAAGTAATTTAATTTTGCAGTATCGTTGCTTGAGTAATGATGTTTGTCATCTTTGTAGGAAGAGAGCTAATGCAGTTGTGGGTGTACTCTACTGTTCTGTATTATTTGTGCTGGGATTTTTGACATTCTGAGGATCAGCATTTTCTATGTTTATTTGTTACAGCAGTGTTAAAATTCTGAAAACTTGTAATGAAGATTTTTGCATTCTGTTATGAATCCCTTTATTAAAAGCAATAGGGAGGTGGAGCAGATGGTTTAAAGCAACATACTGTACTTTCTTTTTCCATAGATGATGGTGAGAAACAGCAAAAACGTTACAGGGTTTCATCAAAAACCTCTCCAAAAGAGAGTTCTCGGTTGCCTGCATTGCCATTGGTGGAGCAAGAATTTCCATCTCACAAAGAAAGATTTATCCCTCCTGAGCTTAGCATCTGGGATTATTTCATTGCAAAGGTAATTTTTTGCTAGTATGACAATTAAGTGTCTTCTGTCACTTCTGGGGTGGTAGTTTTTCTCATATTAGTCATTATTCTAGGTATTGGTGTGATAAAACCTCCCTGTTTTTATTGCTAGCATTTAGCTTTTTCTAAAACACTGATATTTCTAAAACACTAAATAGATGTTTTTGAAATAGCTTTCTAAAAAACCGTTGTTATTCAATAATTTGTTTTCGGGTAATGTTATGAACAAAACATTTTTTAGGCTTGCAGCATACAAATATATGGATAGTTATGGGCCAGCTATTTAGGTGAACAAGGAAATGTGAAAAGCATTTAATCAGCTATTTCAATTGGATGAAATGAATGTATATGCTTACTAGAAATGAAATTACATTGCCTTCTGTTAAGTCTGCTGTGGCATATCTTTCTTTGTAGAAAGTTACATAATGTTGTATGCACATTTCTATATCATATGTTACTTATACCAGCAAAATAAATATGTCAGTTGTATTTTTGGAACAAAGACAAAAAAGAAACTGCAAATGCTGAATAAGTACTGTGAGGCACTGATGGTAGGCTGGTCATAAATACTGAATTCTGTAGGAAAAGGATAGGATTTTCTTGGTCTTTTGTCCTTTGAGCCCTTGGAAGAACTAGAGAGAATATACTCTGTGGCTTCTCTCTGACCAGCTTGTGTGTCCTACGTCTGGTTAGATATATTTGACATATAAATATATAAATAAAATAAAATAAGAATTAGAAAATGTTAGTGTTTTCAGCATTAGAACTTTCAGTAATGTGTAAAAAATTAAGCTGTTTAAGTATATAATACTTATGGACAATTACCCTTCTCATGAGGTACAAACTCCAAATGTTATTAAATTGAGTAAGATTATGTGCCTACATTTTTATAAAAAGCTTTAAATATTATAACAATTCAATTTTTAAAAGGTAATTTCAAATGAGATGTTGGCTAGAAGATATTTAAGGAATATTGTTTAAATTTTTAGCCATTTCTTCCATCACAAAGTAGAGTGGAATATGATTCAGAAGAGAGTCAGGAAAGTGATGAAGATGATGAAGATATTGATGGAGATATATGTGCATCAAATTCACGTAATCAAGAGCATTCTAATTCAAATTCTTACAGGTAAGTAGCTTTAGAACGTAGGATGTTCTACCATGTCTAGACTTGTATTTCTGGCCTTTTATTTTTGAGTTAATATACCAGTAACTTGATATTTCATAGGAGTGCATAATGTAGACTTAGTTAATTTTTCACAATGATTGTTTTACTCATTAATGTATAGTATAGTGACTTTTGAATTAAAAGCATCTATAATATTCTAAAATATGGATTTTAGTTTTCAGTAGTTTATAATGAGGTTTTGAAGCTCTAAATTTTAATCCTAATATTGAAAAAGTGAGAAAAATTATTTTACTATTAGTAAATGACTTACTAGTGCTTTCTTGTTAGTTGGTCACTGATGAGATTGGCAATGGTTCAGCTGGTACTTCACAATTTGAAGATTTTCTACCCTTTGGCTGGACATGATCTTTCAGGTAATAAACAGCAGAGTTGTCTCTTTATAGCTAATTACCACACTTTAAATCAGTAATATGTTGAATAATATACATACGTTGTAGCTTTATTTTTAGTTCAAAAGTTCTTAATTTTTCAGTGATCTGTGAATAAATGTTTTGATACTCTTTATCATACAGGTATATTTATGAAATAATATTGTGGGTGCATAAGATGAGTGGGTGAAAAGGAATGCTCAGTAGTTAGCAGAAGTCTGCATACTTATGTTTTCTTTGCCTCTTAGCCACATAAGAATGTTTGCAATATGTATTTTTTGGTGGAAACACTACAGTTTTTTTGCAATTCAAGTAACAGCCTTCCTACTCCTTATTTCATAGATTCGTAGAATCATGGAATGGTTTGGGTTTGGAAGGGACCTTTAGAGATCATCTAGGTCGAACCCTGCCTACCACAGGGCAGGGACTCTTTCACTGCATGGTGTTGCTCAGAGCTTCATCTGACATGACCTTGAACACTTCCTGGGATGGGGCATCCACAGCTTTTCTGGCAGCCAGTTCCACTGTCTCACCATCCTCACCATAAAAAATGTCTTCCTTATATCTAATTTAAATCTGCTTGCTTTGTTGAAAACTGTTACTCCTTGTCCTGTCACTACAGGCTGTGGTAAAATGTCTTACTCTCTAGCATTTGCATAAATCCCTTTTAAATATTGAGAGGGTGCTCTAAGGTTTCCCTGAAACCTTCTTTGTTCCAGGCTGAGCAACCCTAGCACTCTCAGCCTGTCTTCACAAGAGAGGTGTTACAGCCCTTTGACCTCTTTTCATGAACCTTCTTTGGGCCTGCTCCAACAGGTCCCTGTCATTCTTACACTGGGGGACCCATAGCTGAGTGTGGTACCCCAGGTGGAGTGTCATGAGATCAGGTTAAAGGGGCCAGATTTCCTCCCTCACCATACTGGCCACCCTTCTTTTGATGCAGCCTATGATGTGGTTGGCTTTTGGGCTGCAAGCGCACATTGCCAGCTCATGCACAATTTTTCATCCACTGGTATCTTTAAGTCCTTCTCTACAGAGCTGCTCTCATTCTTTCATCCCTCATTTGGCTTTGGTGCCCTAGTCCTTGTTGAAGCTTGGGAGGTTCACATGGCCCACGTCTCAAGCCTATCAAAGTCCCTGTGGGTGACATTCCTTCCCTCCAGCAAATCAATTGCACCTCTCATCTTGGTGTTACCTGCAAACTTCCTGAGGGTGCACTCACTACCACTGTGTGTATCACTATCAAAGAGGTGGAACAGTATCAAACTCAATACGCATCCCTGAAGAATGCAGCGTGTTACTGATCTCCATTTGGACATTAAATGTATCTCTGATTGAGGTCATTTAACCAGCTCCAGCAATTAGATAGTCCATCCTTGTTGCTCCAATAGAAAGGTAAGGGTGTTGTGTGGGACTCTGTCAAAGGCCTTGCAGAAGTCAAAAATAGGGGACATCCATTGCTCTTCCCTTGCCCGCTGGTGCAATCAGTCCACAATAGAATGCCACCAGACTAGCTGGGCACAATTTGCTAGTTATGGTGAAGGAATGTCACCTTTCTCTCATTACCTGCCTGTCACCCATATTCCTTGACATAGCTTCCAGGAGGATCTGTTCCATGATATTTAATTTTTGTCAGCACTGAGAAGTGTGTTCCTGTATTTAGCAGTGATAGCACAAAGCAGTTCATCTTTATATACTTGCCAATATCAAACTGAGGTTTGAATAAAGCTTAATTGGGGAAATACTTGAAATAAACTTCAGTCTTCAGCTGACGGAATTAACTTTGTCAAGATCATAATGGAAAAGGGAGGGTTTTTTTTATTGTTTACTTGTCTTTCTAGAGCTTCCAGTTAGCTCCCCAATATGCCATGCAGTTTTAAAGACTTTGCAGCGCTGGGAACAAGTTCTTCTCCGACGTCTTGAGCTCTATGGGGGTCCACCTCAACATTATATTTCAGTTCATGCTTCTGAAGATGCCCTAGCTGCTGGTCCTGCATTGCTTCGCCATAAAACTTTACTTGAGCCTACAAACACTCCTTTCAGGTGAGTCTAATTTATGTAAATACTGACTACAATATCTTTAATATAAATCAAGCATGAAGTTATTAGGGTGTGTGACACAATTCAGTAACTATATGCCAGTTTCAAGATTTGCTCTAGTCCACTGTGAAATGGTGGGTGCATATCAGGTTTCATGCATCTCTGTTCCAAAGCTAGATCAGGGAAAACAACAGTTTCTAATTTTTTTTTAGTTCTTTTACTGAATCTTAACAGAGAGAGTTTGAGTGTCTTTCAAAAAGTACAGTTGACGATAAACTAAAGAATAAAAAATTTACCTTGAGAGATAATTAAGGATTAGAGACAAGGAATGAAATAATTGCCCCACCTTTGGAGGTAATATACTCACATTCTTATCAGTATTATTACCTAAAATCAGAGAAGAAATATTTACTATTTGTAATATTTGCATAGTTATGGTTTAATTAGATATTCAACCACAAAAGTGTGCTCAGTTTCTTAAATTATAATTTTTTATATAGCTTTCTGCTTTTTTAATTTTGGTGTCACCTGTGGATTGCAGAATCTGTCTTTTCATTGTAAAATATCTTACTATCTTACTATGGTCATACTTAGTTTTAGTAATGTGAGTTGATTAAAAGGTCACAGTTTAACATGTATCTGTTGTCTGATACTGTTTTTAAATTATGATTTTAAGCAGTTCAGAGTTTGTTGTTTTTTGGCCTGTCCTAAGCAACTGTACTTGTACTTAAAAATTTTACATATTGTTTCTAGGGTTAAGCATAAAATTTGAATTCCGATCTGATCTACAGTCCTTCCAATTTTGTTACTGGGAAGTTATGGATGTTTCAGGGATGTTGCACAGCTGATGATGTGTTCCTAGTAGGAAGTGTTGATCATTTACTGTCCATGTGATAGGATCAATCATTAGCACTAAACAGAAATGGCCCATTTTGTAAAGAATGAGTTGGACTAATAAATAATCTGTATATTGCCCTTATCACTGCATAATTTCTTGAAGAGATTTTCGTGACTTGTCCCAAAATAGGAGGAGAAAATGCTTCATATTATTATCCTTTTTCCTTTTGTACCTCCTCTCACAGGTTTTTCAGGAAGAGGGTGGTAAAGTGCTACCAAATAAGGTCTTATATAGTTTCTATAGATCTGGAGTTTGCTTCAGCATTTCTTCTGACTATAGTTTTATTCATATGTAAGGTAGTGCACTCTTGTATAAGTATGAGCAATATGTAAATACTTATTTTGACTTCATTCTGTAGATCTAGCAGTCATGTTGCACTGTCTGTGAAGAGGCTCTGGCAGTACTTGGTTAAACAGGAAGAAGTCCAGGAAACCTTTATCAGAAATATTTTTACAAAGAAGCGATGCCTAAATGAGGTTGGTATGGTGTATAAAATGGGGGAAATACTGCAGGTCAATCTGTGAAATTTTTCTTAAATTATTTAGCTGACATGTTTACTTCTAGGGCATGAATGGTTAATATTCTTGGCTGTGACTCTAAATCTACAGTATTTCTAATAAAAAATAATTGTCCATTTTTTCATAGAATGCAAAAATAACCAGTCTGTGACTGTAGAATGACAACTAACATAACTTACCTACAGTCAACCTCTTCGTTAAGTTCAGTAAAGCTGCCTCAAAAGACTGACAAACTTGAAAATTTCAAAGATTAAAACCAGGAACCTAATCAGCCAAAGTTCTAAAACTGTGACTTTGTCTATACCACAGTCATCCTGGCTTTTATCCACTGCTTTCTGTCATGTTACGATTTGATTTTAGTAAGAAAATTGGTCATACAACAGTTATTATTTCAGTCTCCGATAATTTGTGCCAGTGTCTTTTTGGATTCCAGGTTCCAGATTCTGTTAAATATTTTTAAGTTGTGGTTCTGTAATGGACTTTTAGGGGATTTTTTTCCTCCCTCTTCAGTTCCTCTCTTTTTTTTCCTTATTTACCCCTACTCCCAATAATTTGAAAGAATTGATGGTATTACCGAAAAAATGTGGAGTAGCATAAACAGAGGAAAAACCAGCAGATGTGAACAAATTAAACATGCGGGAAAAAAGAATATTTATGACTAGTAAATACTGATGACATGTCAGCAGAGAGGTCTCTATGACCTAACCTTTGTTCTGTGACAACTAGAATATTAGCTTGATTGAGTAATGTTGGGTAATTGTGTTCACTGCAGACTGCAGTTAAAAGGAAAATTGTTCCTTTTGTCCTTTAAAGGTGCACCCTTTCTGGCCATGCTTTATGTTAGTGCAGCTGTTTTGCTATGCTATATGGACAGGTGTTTTGAGAGATTTTATATGTGCTTTATAAATTTCAAAGGAGGATCATGTGCAGCCTTACACAGCATAGGTGTGTTGGTTTTGTTTTTTTATCTTGTCAGTGTAGATTGCTTATTTTCTAAGAAATTTGACTTTTGGTATAGACTAGATGCTGTTACATCACAGAATAGGTAAATCAGTATGTTTTGTACTGAATACAGAGTTTAGAATTCGTTAATTATTGTTACTACTTAAAATGTGTGTGTGCAAACATGCTGCTGTGTTTCAGTTTTTCTGTGTTGAGGTAAAACCCAAGGAATTAAGGATTTCCTTGATACCTTGTGTGTTATGTCTTACCTTTATGCTTTGTTCTGTGGTTGTTCTTTCCTTGGTGAAGTCATTAGAGGAGCACAATGAAACCATGAAAAATTCTGTGGTGGAAGAGCACATCATCAATAAGGTACACAGTAGTAATCCTCAAATTTATTAGACCTTACATCATTATGAAGTACTTTCTTTTTGAAATGGTGCTGATTTCACTTAAAGTCTTTGCTGACATAGCAAACAAACTTAAAAATTCACTTTTGCAAGGGATAGAGATAAAGTAGTCTTGTTACAGAATTTATCTGAAACTTAATTATGGTAGAAAGCTTCATGAAGCAACCAGGTATGAACAATATGTCGTATCAAATTCTGTAGCTGTGGCAAGTGAAGAGCTGAAGTTGAGATTTGCACAAGTGACAAATACTTAGTAGCGGTATGGTACATAGTACTTACAGGACCTTTCATCAGTATGAGATGTCTAGAATAACTGCCTGTAAGTGGAAGTGGTTAACTGAAGTTACAGCAGTTTGTTAGCATGGTACTGGTTTTCACTGCACCTTATTTTAAAGATGGTGGCAAATGAACCCATATAACAGTTTTGTAGCAAGTTTCTTGGGAGATTGATATTGAAAAGGTATAATATTCTGCCTGGAAATTCAAATGAATATGGGATTCTTCAGTCTTTCTTTTGCAAAACTAATGTGGAGACAGAAACGAGAACACCCTGTGATGTCCTTGGGCTACCTTATTATTATTAATTACATGATAAAGAGGTATTAGCAAATACGTAATTGGAACTGACTGGGGAAAAATAAATTTAATTTCATGCAGGTTTGTTCACCGTAACATGATCATGGTTTTGTATGTGTTTGTCACTGCAGTCTTGTGCATTGTCACATACATAAAGTCAAAAAGGTATCAGTTTTGTTTGACATTAAAAAACTATTCCAATTCTTCATCTTTAACAGCTATAGACTTTTTTCAGACTTCGAAAAAGAGCATTTGCAGATCTTTGACAGCACAGTCTTACTGTTTTTCAAGTAAAATGTCCTTGATTAAATCTTTTAAAGGTCAGAAGGTAAAGAATTTGAAGATGAAAGGCTGGGAATAGTTCTGGAATAGTTTCTTGTGTTTTGAAGAAAATATAAAGTTTTACATTTGTAATTCAGGTGTAAACTTTCAGATCACCATGAGTTTGGGAGGCTTTTTTTTTACTGTAAAATAATTTTGTAATTGCAGTAGACTGAGTCTGTAATCTACCAGTTTAATTCTTGCAATGCTGAGCTCTTTAATTTTGAACAGAAGTGCTACAGTACTGGTAGAGTTTAGAATTTTGTGTGTGTGCTGGCAAATAGCCCAGTGCATTTCTAAAATACAAAATGGTAGACAATATTCAAACCCAACATTAGATCGCATTAAGAAAAATTAAAAAAAAAAAAGTAATAGTAAGAAGTTTGTGATACTACAATGTATAGAATTCCAGATTTATTCAGTTGTGGAAAAATGTGAATAGGTAAGCTGACAAAGCTTAAATTTATTTTCCTGCTCAGGAGCTTGCCTGTAGCTTCTTTTTGACAATTTCATCAGCTTCAGTAGCAAAAAGTGTTTACTAAGAGCCTGCAAAGACTTAACAAAATTTTTGAGAACAAAACATCAAGATTCAAAATTTTAGTCATCAAACAGCAAGTGTGTGCAGCTTTGCTGGTTTTCAGCATCCCTGAAAACCTTGTGAATGAACATAGAACTGTGACTACTGTGATAAATTACATTTTCTCTGTTGCTGTGTTGATCTCAACATGGTAGTTGGAACTAGATTATTACACAAAACAGATTAATTGTTACAGGCTGTGTTTGTTGAATCTTTTTAGAATTCAAAGGAAGAAAAAAAAGAAAAGAAATTTTATATGAAACAGTGTTTGGTCTCCGTACTTTCATTAAAAAGCGGTGTTGCATAAAAGTTTGGTTTTAATTGTGCTTTACTTTTTAAATACAGATAGAAACAGATCTGGGATACCCAGGAGGCAAGGCAAGAATAATTCATAAAGAGTCTGACATCATTACTGCTTTTGCAGTCAATAAGGTGAGTGTAAAGGAGGTAGAATAATCTAATTGTGTTGTACTTCAACGTGATACACAGGTGGTAGTCTCATTGTGAATGTGTGAGATAAGATTTGCCAGCACCTTTAGCCACCTTTAGCACGAAGAACTTTTAGCACTCCCTCCTCAAAAGCACTTCATAATTAACTTTTTGTAATTAAGCAGTTCTGCTACAAATTGGCTTTTTTTCCTATTGTGCAGTACACTGAGGGAATGGAGAGGTGGCGTCTACTTTTTGTTTAAGCCTGTGAGTAGGAGTATTTGAGCTTTTCTGTCAAAAACAAGGAAGTAATCTTTTCTGTGTTCAGCCATGTAACCCTTCAGAAGTGGAGGAGGGGAGCTTGTTTACAAGCATTCTGGTATGCTTGTTTATCCTGTTTATCCTCTGAGAAGAGCAAGGAAATACTTGAGCTGCTTGAGAGAGGTATAAGATACAAATAGCGTGTGATGATATATCAGGTGCAAATAAGCTTTAAAAAAGAAATGTCAAGTTGAAACATATATAGATCAGTCATATATGTTTGGGGTTTTATAAATTGATTAAGTGTGTATTTGTTTGAACAATGGTGCCATAACCATAGAAAACTAAAATAAGTCCCTTTTTGAGATCTTCTTTTGTACCTCCCTTTCTGTATGTTACTTTTTTTCAGGCAAATCGGAACTGCATTGCAATAGCATCAAGTCATGATATTCAAGAGTTAGACGTTTCTGCGATTCTAGCTACACAAATCTATACCTGGGTTGATGATGATGTGGAAATAGAAAATAAAGGGTATATGTTCTTTGTTTTCAAAATCACAGCTTTTTGACTGTTGATAATTCAGAGTAGCAAATCATGGTATTTAATGTTGCTGTTTGGAATCTTAACAGTGTTCTTTTCATTTACAGGGCTGATGATTTCTTAGTTATACATGCTCGTGATGATCTGGTAAACGTTCAGGGAACTACTCCTTATACTCATAGTAATCCTGGCACACCTATCAATATGCCTTGGCTTGGTAGTACACAAACTGGCAGGGGTGCATCTGTGGTAAGTCAGTTGTCAAAGATTACCTTCATGTATTCTACCTGTTTATCTCCTTTTGTCTGTTCGGTGTTGCTGGTTATATTTTATAATTAGTGTATAAATAAATGTAGCTTGTCTGTGTAATCAAGATGAGCTGAATTTTCTTATAGCAGTTCCCTTGATAGGTTATTAGTATACGTACTGCACATAATTTAGAGGACACCAACTAAGCAAGCAGAGCTTTTAGACAAGCCATATATGCATTCTTTACTTAAGATGCATAATATAAAACAAAGAATCAGGGTTTAGGTAAGAAGTTGCTTCTTAAATTGTTCTTTGATGGCTTGAAGCCAAATGCTCTATCTCAAAAGCATATATTCAGCAGATTTCAGGCTATAAATTCGTAAGGATTGGGTAGAAATAATTAAATGAAATGTTGAAGTAGCCTTTATTTTAAGTGTGATCTTCAGCTTCATTATGAGTTTTAGAAATGATTTTGTGTCTGGAATGAAGCTTGGCCCTGAGCAAAAAGCTATTAGATTAAATTTAATTCAGATCAAATTATAATTGTAATCTGGCCATTGACATTCTTATATTAGTTCCTCTGCAGCATAGATGCTGTATAATAATGCAGATCTGTTCATCAGTTAGCTGAGAGATGCTTATTTGGAGACACTTAATTGGGCTAAAAGATCATAAAAGGCACCCTTATCTCTTGATCTTTCTGCACATGGATGTGGCGTTTTCCTGGATAACTGAATGCATTAAGTTTTGGGACTTGGCTATGTTTTGTGTCATTTGACAGCTCAAAGCAAGTCTATAATTGGTGACGGAATGAAATAACTATATGTTAATTAATATTGTAGTTGATTTTTGAAAATATCTGTTGATTAGGAGGAGTAGATAAGGAAAAAGCATTGTAAGAGCGATAATGTTATCCACACATGGAAGTGGGTATTGTGCCAGTACCTACACCCTCTGCCTTCCGTTTACGAAATACTGATCCAGGTTGCGAGTGTTGCAGCTCTGTTACAACAGTCAGGTGTCTTCTGCAAGTATTCTTTGAATACCTTCGCTACTTTCTCCTCTCACTTCCATTTATATATACATGTATGGATTTTTGAATGTATATTTCTCAGCATTAAGTAATTATATACCCTATTATGTAAACTGTACTTACATGACTTTCTATTTTGTATGTAGTAGAACTTTCTTCCTAAAGATATTTAGTTATGCTTATGTTGAATGCATTTGCTGCTAAACTTTGGACCTAAATTTTGTCTGGCATACTGTTTGACTGTGGCAGAGAACCAACCACAGCACAGAACGACACCTGTCCACTAGGGAAGAAAGACCAAGGTACCCAATGAAGGACAAAGTAAATGAAGGAAGATAGAGGGATTCTTGGGAGACAGTAGTGTTGTTGTGGAAGGACTCAAACCGGGAAGAAAAGCAGCTTCACTAAAAGTCTTTCTTTTGCTACTATTTACTACTTTGTTCCTTCGGATACTACTTCTGATTCTTGTTGTCATCATTGCTTTTCCATAATGTGCAGCCCATTTAGTAGTTATAGCCTACTGTTCTCTACCATTATTGGCTTCTCAGTCTTGTTGTCTTTGCCTCACTTTCATCAGCAAGGGAGACTATTGGACTGATGATACTCAGGCAGTTAATGTTTTATTAGCTCTAGGGTTTTTCTGTTACTCTTCACTGTTTCCTGTTGCACAGTTCATAGAGGGTAAGTAAGGAGGCTCACCATCAGACATTTCAGCACAGTGTATTCACACAGTTCTTACAGGAGGTGTTTAAGAGAGCACTGAAGTACTAGTATGTACCAACAGCTTTGAAACTCTGGTAATGTTCTGAACAGCTTGTTGTACAAGTCACTGTGACTGACACCAGTATTTACCTGTTTAACAACTGGTGGGATGAATGGTGGGACACTTTTTTAGTCTTTCAGGCTTACTGTACATTAGGCCCAAAGCACCCAGTTCTCCAGCAAAGTAACTCGTGTTCTAGCCATCAGCTGTTGTAAGGGGAAGCTGAGGGCTCGCAATCTCAAATGTCAGTTGCATTAATAACGGAAGTATTTTCACTTGATAATTGTGCTTGTTTTCTAAATTGAAGATGCTGCACCAGAGAATTATGTTAGCAGCCTTTCAAAGGCACGTTACTGTAAGTTTGCATTTTTCGAAAGCATAATCCAGCATGGGTTAAGAGATTGTGGTGCGTGCTTGTCTGTTGAATGAAGGAAGGTGATGCCTACTAACTTATGGGTAGAAGCTGGTAGCTCTGAAACTCAATAGAGCCCTTCATTTTAGTGAAGAAATAGAGTGAACATGAATAACATGTTCTTCCATTTACACATAGAGATAAGTTGTAAGTTTAGGGAGCAAAGTATTGCAATTATAAATGCACACACCAGTCAGTAAATGTTTGAAGGATATCATCTTCTCTTGTCTTGTCCTAAACCTTAAAATGTGTGTATACTTTAACCAAACCGTTTGACGTTTTCCCTTGACATTTAAAGTACCTAAAGAAAATAAAAAGGAAAATACGTATTTGAAGAGCTTCTTATCTTCAGGAAAGTCTTGTGAAATAAACTTGAGTAATTGAGAAGCATAAGATTTATCTTAAATAACTAATAAAGCTCTGAGAATTGAAATATCTAAATCTACTTCCAGAATGTAATCAAGAGGATGCAGTTGCTCCATTAATCCAAATCCAGGGAAATTTTAGCAAGAAAATAAATTATTTGCCTTTCAAGTGCTTTTCCTCATTTTTACTTTTGATAATTTAGAGACTATTACTTTTCTACTCATTGGATCATATAAAAAACATATGAAAATTTGTAGTTCATACCTTCTTCCAGTTGACAGCCTGATATGACTGGAGGCAAGGGAGAATCATATACTTGAAATACCTGATCCCTACTGCTTCATGACAGGCAGTGTCAAAATACTGTACAAAATTATGGCATTTGAAAGTCACAGTGGGATTCAATGTAATCTTAATGATTCTCTGAAAGTAGTTTGGTGCCAGCTTGCTATTGGTGTGTAGAAAGTGGTAAGCTGCTGAGTTGAAGATGAGTGCTCTGGCAACAAAATTTTATTTGTTTTCTCATTTGAAGTTAACACCTGGCACAAATAAAAAATTATTCCCTTCTCAAATGTTCAGGTAAATAATACATGCATGAGCAAACAGAGTCCAGCAATTTTCCAAGGAAAGTCAGTCCTCAGAGTAGTCAGATGCTTTTGAGAATAACTATCAAGAAACAAAAGCGTGAAAACTCAACTTTGACATACATTAATAGAAAGAAAAAAGGGAAGAGAGATCACAGGCACAGATATATTTCTATGATAAAAAAATCCATAAAGTTTTTTTTTTGCATTTGTGGGTTGGGCAAGCAGTTTAATTAGATGGGATTTAAATATAATTGTCTAATGTCTCTAGCTCTCTTCATACATTGAATTCTTCCCAGTAAGAATTAATAAAATAAGAAAAATAGCAATCTGAACAGCAGTCTTGGCAATGCACCTTGCTCAAAGTGAATTGTAGTGCCTGGGAACAAAAGTGCTACTGAAAATTCATTTGATCTGTATTTGCAAAATTACAAAAAGTTTTGAAGAATTTATTATTATTATTATTATTATTATTATTTATTTTTTATTGTCGGTTACTAGGTGTGTTGCTTATTCTGGATGGCCACAAATAACCACTTTCCAAGCAATGGCAATAAGTTAACTAGACTTGAAAATAGATATATTCCTTCCTATTTTTTACTTCTGTTAAAGTTTGTTTACCTCTTTCTTTACATGCTTCTGCCTCTCTCTTGCTTATCTTACAATATTCAGGAATATTCCAATAAATTTAATGGAATCAGAAAGGAATTGGCAAGAAAAGAGGTAAGATTGCAGTCTAAGGAGTGCTTATGTTTGGATCCATACATTTCTGAAGCAAAAATTTAATATTTACCTAGATGTATAAAGCTTCAAAAGTATTAATGTCTGCACTAGTCTTGGAAGAAACTGACTTCTGTCTTTATCTCTAAACCCAGTACTTGCTTTCAGTAGGAAATTTGATAGGAATCAGCTCTCTGCAATCACTAAGTCTTCTCCAGTTCAGTAACTTTTTGCTCAGCAGTACTGTTAAATTTTTTTTTATTTCATTGTATATTTAACAGATGCTCAAGAAAGCTATTAATAATGTCAGAAGAATGGCTTCTCACCCAACACTACCATACTGTAAGTTCAATTTATTTAAAAAAAAACCAAGAAAAGTTACCTAAAGGTTATATATTTCTTATTGGCCTGTTTCTTAGTATGCTATTTTATACCTAAAGATTATATGTTTCCTATTGGCCTATTTCTTAGTATGCTATTTTTTACCAGCACAGCAATCTACTGTATGTTCTTAAAGTTGTATGTAATCCATATTTTACTGAAACTATTTATCATTTTAAAATACCATACTAGGGGATATAGAATAGCCTTTAGAATCAGGGGGATTTTTATAGCAAAAAGTACTGTATTTCTGGTTTATTTGTCACTTGAATGAAAGATAGTAGGAAAAATATGTTATAATCTCCAAGTAAATCGCTTCATATTTCAGTACCTTCTAAATACAGTTCTTAGTTGAATAATGAATAACACGAATTCCAGTGGTAACCTACTGCTCCTACACCAAACCAGATACTATGGCACATATTTTGGCACTGGTTACTTTGAGATGGTCAGAGTTTTTTTAAAAAATTTAAAAACTACACCACCTGTGAAAAGTCATGTAAATATTTTCTGTTGCAGACCTAACAGGTGCTCAAGATGGTAGTGTAAGAATGTTTGAATGGGGTCATGCCCAGCAAATCACATGTTTTCGATCTGGTGGCAACTCAAGGGTAACTCGCATGAGATTCAATTACCAAGGAAATAAGGTAATTGACAGAATGTTTCTGTGCTTATTCTCTTCTCTTCTCTTCTCTTCTCCCTTCTCCCCAGTATAATTGCAAATTAGCAGAAACTCACATTCTTCAAATCTAAAGTAGTTTTGAGGAACTGTGGGCATTTTCTTTGCAATACATATGTATTTACTGTGAGTATATATTTTTTTCAGTTTGGAATTGTTGATGCTGATGGATATATAAGTTTATATCAGACAAACTGGAAATGTTGCCCACTTACTGGAACTTCACCTAAGCCATATTTGGTAAGCTGAAAACTAAATTAGTTTCCATAAACTTGAATTGTGCTCTCTTATTTCTTTGCCCCTTCAGAACAGTTGGGAGAGAGCAGGGATTGTGCTGATAACCAGTATTAATTAAGAATAAATTATGTGTTCTTCCCATCCTGTGATATGTCTGACAGGCAAGTTCTTACATTCTAATCATACTTGCTAAGTGGAGAGTAGAAAATGCAGTGTTAGGTCTGAAATAACTTTAATGGTCATTGAGACTAATCAGTAGTTGTTAGTTGTCAATTAATTGTCCTCTGCACTGCTGCGGTCTCACCTTGAATATCATGAGCAGTTTGGGTTGCTGCAATACAAGAAAGATATTAAGCTGTTAAAAGAGTGTCCAAAGGAGGGCAACAAGGATGGTGAAGGGCCTTGAGGGGAAGCCATGTGAGGCTTGACTGAGGTCACTTGGTCTGTTCAGCCTGGAGAAGAGACTGAGGGGAGGCCTCACTGCTGTCCCTCGTGAGGGGAAGAGGAGAGGCAGGCACTGATCTCCTCTCTGTGGTGACCAGAACCTGAGGGAATGGCCTGAAGTTGTGTCAGGGGGGGTTAGGTTGGATATTAGAGAGAGGTTCTTCCCCCAGAGGGTGGTTGGGCACTGGAGGAGGCTCCCCAGTTAAGTGCACCACAGCACCAAGCCTGACAGAGCTCAAGAAGCGCTTGGATGATACTCTCAGGCACATGGTAGGACTCTTGAGGATGGTCCTGTGCCGGTCCAGGAGTTAGACTCAGTGATCCTTGTGGGTCCTTTCCATCTTGGCATATTCTGTCATTTTGTGATTCTCTAATTGACAGTTATGCAGGACTGGAAAGTATACTTTCATGAAAAATTAAGAGTTTCACAAGGCATACCAATACCTTTATACGCTGTGTTCTTTAAATTTTTTTTGAACAGTTTACCTTCTCAAGGAGATTTAATATTTCATGCTTACACAAAATACATTTCGTTTTTAATTAATTTCTAAACTGCAATTTTTCAGACGTGGCAATGTCATAACAAAACAGCCAATGACTTTGTTTTCATCAGTTCATCATCTTTGATAGCTACAGCAGGATTGTCTTCTGACAACAGGTAAGAACTGCTGTGATAATGCATGAATATACTTTCTCTCTGCCACTTTGTTTTTTGTTGATTCTTCTTAAGTAGTTTTAAGAGCCACCTTTACTTCTACTTGATTTCTTTCTTTGTTGGGAGGGGGAGAGAAGGAATGTTTGCAGCTAAATTCATGTGTCTATTAAAGGAGGTTTCATAGGGAAGCACAGAACTTTGTTCATGTTCCCTATGAGAGAGAAAGTTGAGAAGGAGGTCCTGTCCTCTTCTCCCTGGGATCCAGTGATAGGATGGGGAATGACTTAAAGGTGTGCCAGGGAGGTTCAGACTAGACATCAGGAAACTCTCTCCCAAGAAGCAGTTCAGACACTGGATCTGGCTCCCTTAAGATGTGGTCAGTACCCCAAGCCTCTCCATGTTTGAGACATTTGGCCCTTAGTAACATGCTTTAAGTTCTAGTCAGCCCTTAGGTGGACTAGATGATCTTTGTAGGTCACTTCCAGCTGAATTATTCTGTTCTGTTCTTACCAAATGAGCCTGTCTTAAATTACAACTAGCATAGCTCTTCATTTCACACTTGTTTTTGTAAGTAAGTATTGATCAAGAAACATAACAACCGCTGACTTTCCTCTGAGTTCAGCTACAGCAGATTGTCATCTCAGTAGGAATCCCTTTGTGAGAATAGCCAGTCATGATTGTGTAGAAGGCATGTTCTTGCAGTATGTGTATAACTATGGAAGTAACTTGAGGTCTTCTCAAAAGTATTCATTGAAAGACTGTTTTTAAGGTTCAGATGGCTTCTCAGGTGTTCAAAATACATTAGAAAATTTGTCACTGATTTAAACTGCTTTCTTTTATCTACAGAAATATTTGTCTTTGGGATACCTTGGTTTCACCCACAAATAGCTTGGTGCATGGTAAGCAAAATACAACCACCAAAATATTTGATCACAGTAGAAAATGTGTATTTTTGTGTCTTTCTTTATGGAAAAGTTACTGTGGGAAGTAATTTTAACATTAGCAGTAAATCATCTTATGCTGTTCAGTGTAAGTGCACCAGCAGGAACGTAAAACCAGATTTTTGAGAAATTGTTTAGTGCTCTGTATAAATGATCTGTTTCATGCACACTTTCAGAACACTTTCCTCTGCATACCTTGTGTCTTTGCACTACAAGTGCAACTCCTGACAGCTAAACATTTCTGTTCCTTTTTAAAAGGTTCTGAGCAGCTCCCCCACGTAGTGAGTGGCATGTTAAGAAGACAATAGCTATAACATTGTCAGAACTGCAGTTTTTAGCAAGGTTATGAGATATGTTTTTGTACAACGTGTATCGACAGCCTCCAGTTTAAAGTTCCTAAGGCTGTGTCTGTATTCATCAATCAGAGTGCCCCTACACAAAATTTATTAATTAAATATTAGACAAAATAAAGACACAAGGACATGATTATAGTTGTCTGAAGATAAGTATATGAATAAACAGACCTAATTTTATAGAGAATATTAATTGATATTTTTATGAATGTATTGAACCAGCAGATAAATAAGATCTCACATTTGTGTAGTAAATTTCATAGTTGAATTAAGAGATGAACTTAACTGCTCTACTCGTAGTGCATTTTGCTTTCAAAGATTGTCCACTCCCATGGCACTTCTATTCTGTGTATTATGCCACATACTATCAATGGTTTATATAGATAAATAGTATACACAGATAGTACTACAAATATGCTTTAGAAGAGTTATTTGTGTAAGCATGCTTTTGGAGATAGAATAAATATTTAGCAAGGTTTCATTAGGTTTATTACTAATACTTTGTTGCAAGAAATACAACAGATTTCAAAATCTGAAATACAGAATTAAGATCAGAGAGTTGTGAACTCCATTTACTTAGAGTAATGACAAATGCTTGATTGGATGTGAAGGACATGTGGAATCTCGAAATATAAATTTAGCGTTTGAACTACTAGTGAAATATACTGAGTTTAGTTCTGGAAATCGTAATTTTCATTCACTTCCTCCACTGATTTGGGGGAGTAGATATCCAAGTAAGTGTGAAAAGCAGCAAATTATTAGTAAAATAACCAGTGGAAACTTGTAAGATACTTGGACAAGTAGTTTAGGAGCCATTTCTGATGAAAATTATATGCCTTAAAATAACAAACATTAGAGACTTTGAAAATAATCTGTTTCTGGTGGGATTAATAGTTTGTGATTACACAGGGATAAAAAGAAAATGATTTTTTTGAGAATAATGTATCTTGAGAATGTCTGATGTGAACCTGGGATTACATGTATATGGTACTGCAACAAATGGGCTGGTTGTGATCAAACATCCAAGTCACTGTTGCTACTGTTTCGAACCATTCGAATTTGATGGAAAATTGAATTTAGTACTGTGTTTTATTTAAATTACTTTGCTTTGGTTTTCAGCTTTTGTCTGTCATGATAGTGGAGCAACTGTGCTGGCATATGCTCCAAAACATCAACTGTTAATATCTGGAGGCAGAAAAGGCTTTACATGTGTAATTGATCTTCGCCAAAAACAGCAGCAACAATTACTTCAGAGTCATGATTCTCCAGTCAAAGCAATTGCTGTTGATCCTACAGAAGAGTATTTTGTCACAGGATCTGCTGAAGGCAACATAAAGGTACTAATGAGGGGGAGGGAGTTGAGATGACGTGTACATTCAGAAAGAGTCTTGTACAGGTGTGGAACAATCAGATACCATATGTACTGCATTTGTTCTCAACCCTGACTTTCACATTTACTAATTTAATTACAAAATATTAGTCTTACATTGCAGTCCTCCTTTTAATTAGCAGTACCTTAGTCCCTGTATATATTCCCTATTATAGAAAATGAATATTAATATTCTATAATTGTGTAATTACATATTGCTACGTATTTTACAGTTGGTGTCAGAAAAATAAATGCAAAATGTAGTCCAGTTTCTCCATGACTCATGACTGCTGAATTTTAAGATCATGGTAATTTTCCTTGTAGGAGATTGATATTTTGATTATCTTTCAGGTGTGGAGTCTGTCTACATTTAATCTTCTTCACACCTTCATAAATGAGCATGCTCGACAGTCTCTCTTCAGAAACATTGGGACGGGAGTCATGCAAATTGAGACAGGACCAGCAAATCACATATTCTCCTGTGGTGCTGATGGAACAGTAAAGATGAGAATCTTGCCTGATAGATTCAGCCCTTTAAAGGATGTGTTAAAAAATGATGTGAAATTTATGATCTAATGTTCTTCTTAAAATAGTGAATAACATTCCCCTTTCTGCCATCCCTGAAAATGTTCTTCCTGGCACTAACCAACAAAGCAAATGCACAGTGATAGCTTGTGAGACAAAGATGTTTTGGTTTTTTCCTTTCTCCCCTTTGACCTCCCTCTCTTCTGCCCCCTAACCCTCTATTTATTACCTGGAGCTTTTAGTCCCTGATGCACTAATGCCTTAAAGATTAACAAGGTCCTTCAGATTTTGATTGTTGCCTAAAATAAAAGCTATATAGAATTACAAATTATATAGTTATAATATTATGAAGATGTTGTTGAAGTGGTTTACTCTTCCTTTTGAGATAGTTACACTCCCACCTGGAGTGTACCATCTGGGCATGACCTCTGCTTATATTCAACACCTGGCCACCTTCTAAAAGCGTCTGTCCAGATGGAAACCTAGATAATATTCTTTTTCACTGTGGCAGCCATAACTGTCTCTCTTCTCAACTTATTTAGTCAGCTGACAATAAAAATTTATACCTGTGTGTAGAAGAGAAACAAAGTCTGTAGGAGTGAATGCTCCTGGTCATGCAAGCATTCGTGTAACAAGCCACTCTCTGTATCCATTCCTGGAATCCAGGCTGTTTACCTCTCTTTACTTGCCTGATCTCCTTCCTCTCATCTGGGTATAAGAAACTGAAGGATGTTCTGTATCTTGTCTTCTGTTCTATAGGTTAAATCACTGCCATCAGGATGGCAGGCTTACCTTTTGAAAATAAATATATTTTTAATCCTGAACACTCCCTTTACAAAAGTAAAATGTAAATATGAATGGATATCTTCCTAGTAAAATAGTCAAGATTATGTGTGAAGCCTTAGTCTTGATCAAAAAGATAAAGGAAGATACTGCTTTAGGATATGGCACTAGAATTTCTTCAGAGACTATTTATTTAGCTGTATGTAGAGGAAAAAAAACCCAAACCCAACCTAATTTATTTTTGCCTTTTTTTTTTTCCAGTAAGAGTTTTTATTTAGCCCAAAGATACTCAGTTCATTCTTAGCACTTACATTCTTGTTTGTCTGCTTTTCCTAAGTACTTTAAAAAAGGAAAAAGGAAAAAACTCAACAGCAAAGTACTTCAACCATGTCAGGCTTTGTACTGTATGTTTACATCTGGTGTCAACTGCAAGAAAAAAAGATTGGAAAGGATAGATGGAGTTTGGGATATTTTTTGCCAAAATATTAAACTGCATAACTTAAATGTTTGACCAAATTATTAATGCACAAGGCCTTTACATTTTTTTTTTTTAGTCAGCTAAACTGTTTCTGTATTTTGGTTTACTTTTCCTTACTTGAGAGCTTGACAGAGATTTAATTTGTAAATTAGATGTGAGGCTGGATTACTTGAACGCCAGTGGTGTACTTTTTGCTAAAAGATATTTTGTGAAATATAGCACCAAGATATTAACTGTAAAATAAACTTGTCAAATTAGGAACTATGGGGATAAACAAAGCTTAGCAGAAATGAAGGGCTTGTAAAATGAACTATGTAACATTCTCAGGATGCTTTTATCTTAAGAATATAAAGTTGTTTAAAAAGATTTTGTAAAATGTATTAAGGTCATTTTAAATGTATGTTTCGCAAGTTGCAGTGCAAACACTATGAAGGTTTTTATGCACATAACCTGAATTTTCAAATTGTGCAATAAAAAGAATGTGAATGTTTTGCCATGAAGAAACATGTGACGGCATTTCAAACTGGTACAGCTGTTCAGTGATTCAATTGTATTTGTTCTTCCTTAACACTAGATTGAAATAGAACTTGATATCAAAACAGTTTAAGTACAGTGATGGTCCAGAAAAAGTAACTAAAAGTGACACCACCTTACAAAACAGACTTGCCCAATGGGTATGTTGTATCTGTTAAGTGGCTGAGTTTCTAATATCCTGTATTCTTATGGAAGAAGGAAAACAGTGGAGTAAACAGTAGCACAGTCCTTTAGAATCAGCTGAAACCGTGACTTTGTAGCTGCTTATATACATGTATCAGTTTTATACATCCACTGAACTAACAAAGTTACATGTGCAAAAATCATGGCAGTATTATATAATTATGTCCTTGATGTTTTGTCCTTAAATATTTATATCTCATTAGCTTTAATATTTCAAGCTCAAGTTTATTGTACTGGCAGTCACAAAAAGCTGTCTTACCGTCTGCAAACTGAGCAGTTTTTGTATGTAATTTGCCAAGACATACAATGTTGTCATTTTTCCGAGTAAAGCTGCACTATGAAAAATCCTGGCAAACTTATGCATATACCAGAATAGTACTGACCGTGGGCAGGCAGTTTCAATAATGTTTATAGTTACTATAAGCTATTCTCAAAAGTAAATTATGTAAAATCACAATGTATTTGCCACACCTTTATAATCTTTCCAATAAATCCTGCAGAAACTCAACCTTCTAGAATTCCATGTTGCTGCTATTTCATTTACGAATCAGTTGTTTGCTTATATAGTGTTCATTGATGTTTAGCTATTAAGACAGATTATTGGTAGCTTTCTTGTAATGATGGAGTTAAAATGAGTTAACTTCTGTTGTAATTGTAACTTTTAAAGGGACACTCTCAGCTTGAAATCTAGTCACTGGAGAAGAACTGAATTTAAAACTATTCTTTGTCCTACAGCGATTAATGCTTCTTACCTGTTGCTATGCAAGTTACTCAAACTTAAGGGTAATTGTGCCGGCGGAAGGTTCTGTGCTTGAAATAGCCACATGCACAGATTGAACATAAAATTTGCATTTATGAGTGCTTAGTCAAAAATAATGTGTTGTCCAGACTAAGTAACTTGGCATATAGTTGATAGTGTCCCTTTTAAATATCATAGACTGGCAGTTGTTACTTGTGTTTGTCTGTGTAGAAATACATAATGCTATCAGAGTGTGTCATTCTTGTGTTGCTAACTGATTCAGTTACCTCAAACAGATACCTGATCCAAGTTCTTTAGGATTACTTCAGTAACTTGTGGAAGTTAAAACTCTGGCCATCTGGGTACTTAAACTGGCTTGCTGTGTGACTTTTCACTCGAAAATTCTCAGCTGACAGCTGATGTTGCAGGATGTTTATGGAGAAAAATGGAATTTAGATGCAGATTTTGTACCATGCCACAGTGGTGCAACGTGAAGTCATACATGTTCTACTGCATTTTAGGAACCTCGCTACCAGTTGCAGGAAATAAACTGTTCAGATACCCTGCATTAGGTACCACTCCCTTCCTCTTAAGAGCACCCAGTGTTAGATTAGTTGCAATAGTTACAAAAAAAAAAAAAAAAAAAAAAAAGCAACAGTGATTAAATGGAGATATGCTTGGAGATGATAACTTCTCTAAGGTAATTTTTTTCAAATGTTTATTTTTATTAAAAATAGCAAAACCACCGCTAATGGCAGGTTCAGCACACTGATCAAACTACTTTCTATAAAATAAAGATATTGATTTACCAATTTTCTTGGTGTTTTTTATTCTTCCCCACTCCTAGCTTTAAAATCTGCATGATTTTTTCCCTCCCTCCCCCCCCCCAACACCTTAGCTTCTCATACTTTGGCTTTCCTTGTATTAGCCTTTTGGTGTTTTGGGAGGGGTGAGCACTTTTTTTTTTTTTCCTTTTTGTTTTCCTTTTTTTTTTTTTTTTTTTTTTTCCCCAATGTGTAACTAGTGGAACTGAGTAGAACTAAGTCATTTTGCAGTGGAATGAGGCCGACGTAGTGATGGCTATGTCTGCCACAACTTAACTTTTTTAACCCCTTTTCTGTTTCATTTAAAGTTGAAAACCTGCGAAGGTGTTGGGGAGCTTCACCCCTCTGGTCTTCCCACCTTTAGCAGAGGCAGAAGGATAAGTTCCCCTGTTCTAGTCTTACATTGGGCACGAGTAGAGCACGCAACGAGCCCGGCGGCAGCAAGCTGCTGCCAAAATTTAAAATGCTTCAGCGTACAGGGCCTGCTCTTGCACTAATTGTAACTCCTCTTGTGGTAGCGGCGAGAGGCGGTGGCGGGGCTGGGGTGCGACCCGCGGCGGGGCGGGTGGGGCTGGGCTGGCTCCGCTCCCGCCTCCGGCCCCGGGGCTCGGGCGGGCCGGGCCGCGCTGCCGCCCCGCCCCGGGCCCCGCCGGGGAGCCGCGACCGCCGCCAGCCCGCAGCGCCCGCACAGCCTCGGCCGCCGCTCCCGCCGCTGCTCCCGCCCCGCCGCCACACAGTAAGTGCCGCGCTCCGCTGCGCTCCGCGGGGGCCGCGCCGGGCGGGTCCGGCCCCGACCCCTTCCCCGGCCCCTGCTCCTGCCCCTGCCCTGTGCTCCCGCTGGGGCCCCCGCCAGTGCCGCTGGAACTCGCAGCTGGGTCTGGGGCCGGGTCGCTGCCGCCCCCTGCCCCGCCGGCCCTCGGTGCTGCGGAGCCCCAGGTGGGAGCCGCTCTCCAGGTGAGAGCTGCCCGAAGCAGCGCTGGGAGAGTTTGGCCGCGCCTCCATGTGTTTGTGTGGGTGGAGGATGTACGGGGTTGCTGCTCGGGGGCGCCGAAGCTCCACCGCTCCTCCCGGGCTGCTCTCCCAGTTGTTTTTCCAGAAGTGCTTCTCCTCGCCCAGAGTGAGTCGTCCCCCTCGCCAGGGTGTGCTTGGGCACAGGACCGATCTGTGGTTCTTGAGGCAGGGTCAACGAGTGTGGTGATGCTGTTGATCTGTACGATAGTGGTAAAAGACTTTTCTGAGATGCGTGAGTTTGGGTTTGAAGTACTACTTGCAAAAATCCTGAAATTCTGCCAGTTGAACTAGTTGTATCTATTAATGTACTAATTAAATGAAAGAGATCACAGTTCAGTGTGGGCTTACCCTTTTTAGAAGCCAGGATGGGCAGACTCACCGCTCTGGAGGTCTCTGTGTCTCTAGACACACGTGTCTCTGTACATGTTCAAAGCCCTACCTGGCAGCACAAACACATGAGCGAAGCAAAGCGCAGCCCAAGCGATGCTCCGTCTGCACGTGTCTTACTCGCTCCTCTGCAAGTTGCTTCACGTAACGTGGTAGTGAAACCACTCACAGACTGCCTGGTCAAAACTTCCCCGAGCAGTTGGATACGCCAGGTGAGGAGCTGTTTGCACTCACTGGCTTGGTTGACTGATGGCAGCTCTGTTTATCTCGTCAGCTCTAAATAGCAAATTTGCTTTGAAAGAGTATTGATTGTGGAACCAAGCACAAAAGATCCAGTGAGGAGGAGTTTTGCAGTGGAAGGAGATCCAAGACCTGTATGTGGAAGACAAAACTTGGTGAACTTGGGACATACTTAAAAGCAGGAAGAAGGAACTAAAATGTTCTAGTATATTTATATACTTGTCTTTATTTCATCTGGAAGCAAATTTCACGTGGAATCCTATTGAAATGAAGGTTATGGCCCAGTTATTTTCAGGAGCATAAAATACTGCAGCTTGAAATGGAAGTTACTTGTTGTTTGCCTGACAACAGGAAGCTGCTAATTTCCGTTAAATAGTAACTAACCTAATCTGACCATACCTAGGTTTCGGTGTGCTTTATGACTTAATTTGTCTATTTTGAGTATTCTTTAAATAGAGTAAATAATCTTAAATAATCTTAAAAGAATAATAATTGCTACTTGAAAAGGCTGAGGCAATAATCGAACGGATGGGAAATCTCAACTTTAGTCAATTTCCTATTGTAGTACATCAAGATGAGTCCACCAAGTGATGGACAGTAAAATGCGTAATTATCGTTAAAGCAGATAATGGATGCCTACAAATTATTTTTATACAAATAACAGGAGTACTGAATAACAACGTAAACAGTAGCTGGTTTGATATGTTACATTTTAGGATTAATTTTCTTCCAGGTTGCAGATGTTCACTTTTGAGTTTACCTCTTAGCAGAGGTTCTGGCCTAGAATTCCCCTAGAATTCCCCTGTATGATTTTTAATAATTCTCGTACGTGAAAGGTAAGAAGATGGAAAAGAAGTGACCAAATGGTATTTGTCATGATCTTACTGTTGTATATATCCATTTATACAACCTCCTTTATCTAAATGGTTGTTAGTATGTTTCCCACAGCTTTTTCTGTCTTGCTTACATTCTAGAAGCTTTGACCACTGTCTGGGTAAATTTGGTTATAGGTTCTAACATCCCTAAGATATAACACAAGGCATTTGGATTTAGCTCCTCTTCTTTTTTCTTATTCTTTTCCCGTTTCTTCTTTCTTCTCCTGTTGCCTTTGTAGGTAGGTTTCTTGCCATTTCTTATATTTTCCCACCATTAGGCAGATAATTTAAACTACTTTATCTTCTCCCACTGACAAATTTCTTATGCTTTAAGTTTGTTCTTATGCTTTCTTTTCTGTTTTTGCTAAATTTCATTAAATCAAGTAATAATAATAATAATAATAAAATCAAGTATATAGGAAGAGTTTTCTCACAGGGAAAGTATTTCCTGTACGGAACGTAGCTTGAGCAAGGATCAAGACATATTCCAGTACTGTGTATCTCAATTTGCCATATTCTAGTGCTCTTGTCTTTTGTTTGGAGTACCCATACATGGAATGTGGTGCTTCAGGAACTGATGATTTAATGTTAAAGTAAGTAGGGGACTTTTTAGGGTTGGTCTGGTTTGTTTTTTTTTTTTTTTTTTGTGTCCATCTGTTCACAGTCCTAAGCAGACATGTTGTCAATTTTATCTGTAATAATAATGTTTACAACATTCTTCAACTATGATGGAGTGCAAAATCTAGACCTCTTTATTTGAGACTGGCTTTGTAATCAGAGAAAGTGAGAATGGCCTTGAAATCAGTTATGTTTATTTTTTTTTCTCCTATGCCTCCAGCATCTTCAGGTCATAAGACCCAGAGTAAATATGGTGTATGTTCAAGTAGAAGTTAAGCTGGCATTTTGTCAGTTAAGCATGTGAGCAGGAAGTTTCACACAGCATTTTTACACTTTCTTTCTCAAGTAATGTTTTGCTCAAACCAGAATTTCCTTTTTTAACCTGAAGGTCCATCTCACCCCCACTGAGAAGCGAGCTCTGTGCTCTGAGACTGAGGTGTGCAATTTGCAGAGCGGTGGTAGTACTTGGCTGTTTCCTTAGCACCTCTTAACGAGCCTCAAAGAGAGGGAGAACTGCAGAATACATGATTTAAATTACAAGCTGTTAATTCTGTGCTTCGGGTGCTGTTTTCTGAACGATTATTGACATTGTCACTTCAAGCCAAAACACCACTCCTTTCTTTTTCTTTATTTCACTGTGATGGTTCCTGGGATCTCTTTAGTAAAGCGGGTGTTTGAGATGGAGTATTAAACAAAGTACATAACTTCTGAAAAACACAAGCTAAAGCTATTCCTTAATTTCAATTCTGTTTTTATTTAGAAATCCAGATAGTGAAAAATGAGTGTCTCAGGTCTTGCACACACCTCACAGGGACTTAA